CGGAATTGGCTCTAGATCCTTTATAAGATCTTGCTCTATGGTAAGAAGGTCCAAAGCTGGTTCCTTAAATCTGGCATTTTGTCTCTCTCGATTATCGTCAATTTCTTTCATTCTTTTGGGGTGTTGTTGATCGGAAATTATGTCGTTGTAGATTCGCTTCGAGCACTTATGGCTGAAATGAATTCTTCCTTCAATGACTCGTAGTTCCGAAGCAATGACTTGAAGTTCCGGAATGATCGCTCGAGATCCTTGAACTGAAATCTCACATGAGATTACCGGCAGTCTTTGAAGTTCCTGTCCCGGTAATGTGAAATTATTGGGGATATAGGAGGAAGGGACTTGTTCTTTTGGGAGAACACCTTCATCTTCTCTCATCGTAGATTTATTACCGTCGGCCATTGTTTCGGATTAGCTTAAGAAATAAAGAGCAATTACGTTCAAAAGAAGAAAGATTTGAGGCGGGAGAAATTTGAAAGAAGAGGAATGATTAGAAGAATAACAGCCGAGTGGGGTGGGCTGAGATGAGGAAGTCGAGGTGGGCGAGAGGATAATGTGTAAGGACACAGTACGTATATATTGATATATTAAAACGAAGAAATGATGTAAAATGTAAAGAGGAAGAAATAAGAAGAGGGGTGTGGGGTTTATTGGGACCTCTCAGCTATTAGCGTGTGAGCTACTAGCTGGCAAACTAAAGAAGCCGATCCACTAAGCTTCTTGATACCCACAAATTCACCCAAGAGTTACGAAAAGATACTGGCACTTAGAGTATACAGTAATAAAACCCTGATCGTCACAGCTGAAGAAAGATTCTAATCTTTATCATTAAGTACCAATTGTAGGTGAATTGTTCGTTAGCGAGAATTTCTGACTACCGCCGAAGCAGCCGGAGACCCAGATACGTCATCCATCTATAAGATTTCCGTCCATATCATGACGATTTCTCGCTCTCTCCATGATAGCATCCTTTGATTTTTGTGTAATAAGTTTCTGCTCTTCCAGTCGATTTATGCCCGTTTGGATATGTTCGATGTGAACGGATAAGGGGATGTCGATTCTGTCGCGCAGCAATTCTGGCGCGGCTACCCTTTCTCGCAAGTCCTCCAGACCAGAACTGATCTCTTGGAGCTTAATCAAAGTTCCAGATACATGTGCTAAAGCAATTTTACGCCGGTCTCCAATTTCTTTCAACAAATTGAGCTGGCCATTGAGTTTGTTGATCTTGCCTCGATGACCACCAAGCCATGCCCATAATTCTGACAGAGTCTCATCCTTGCTAGCTTGTACTTGAACACCGTCTCGTACTGTAATTCCATGAATAATCTCCAAACGATCTTCTAAATTATTTAGAACCATCAATAGAGCTTGCGCTTCCAAAACCAAACGAGCGATTTCTTCTTCCACAGCTCGAGTATGCTCCACATACTGATCAAGAACAAGTCTTTCGGAAAATTTGGTAGGCTGGAAGGGTGCAAGTAGCTTGTCATTGACAAAGGTTCCGATCAAACCACGGGAAGTTTCGCGTTCTTGAATACCATCAAGAACTCGTGAGGTCCAGCGCGTGATAGAAATAACACTATCCACCGCTCTACCCACATGGCTATTGAACTTTGTAAGGTCCCATGATGCAATTTTTGCAGTATCGATGAATCCATCGAATTCCATGACAAGCTCGTTCCTGTAAGTCAAAGTATTAGCATTTGGCTCTTGTGGTGGAACTAGGCTCGTGGTCTTCTGCTGCCAGACCTTCGATGAAGAGGCTCGCCTATTTGGAAGTGTCAAATGGTTGCTTACCTCGACTTCAGTTGGCTGTATCGTACAAGTTGACGAAGATCTCTAAGAAAGCTCTCTCCACGTTTCATATCTAGTGGCAGGGAGACTCCTCCAGCACTTTCCCTGAGTATATCTTCGAACTGAGACTGAACCATCATAACTTGTTCAAACTCAACTGGTACTCTTGCCTTACTAGAATCGGCATTATGAGTAGAACAGAACGGCAAGTTTAACAAAGATGACCCTGGGATTAGACAAATGGGAGATAATGATGCGTAGATGGATGTGGTAACCAGGCTTCGTGCTACGAGACCGATGCCGGAGAGAATGCATATAGCAAGTAAGTAAGATAGAGGCGTCCTCAAAAGTCTAAGCGCGCCTCCTAGGATCTCTAGTATCCATGAGAAGATCATTGTTGTATGATCGATGAAGGTAGTAATGATATCGTTGGCGTCGGAATTTGACCGATGTGGTGGATGGGGATTTGCAGCTGGAGGAGCCAAAGAGGATCTGTTATGAGTGGGTTGGGCTCTTAGACGTATGTTTGAGCTTTCAAGGTTCTGATCATGTCGCGAGTTTCGTCTTTGAGATTCCTGAAATCGCCGGGGGCTTCTACTAGTGCTCTCAGCCTGAGACCATGAAGCTTCTAGAGTTTCCGCGTCCAGAGAAGGCATCACGAGTTCCGGCTCTGGGGATCTATTACTACCTCTTGTAGGTCTTCGTGGAACAGAAGATCTTGTTCGACGATCGTAATCTGCTTCGATGGGTGGCAAATATTCCTCATAGTCCTCCTGGTTGCCTTCTACGACCCATGATTCACCCAGCTGTAGGTTTGGTCTGCCGCCACGCATCGTGGTAAGCTGCGTCTAATGATTAAATTCTGCTTTGAATCGTTGTAGTGGTAAGTGATGATAATGCAAGTGATGTGAACGTAAGGATATATGCAGCACAACAGCAAGATAGGACTGAGAATTTGATAAGCAATGATTAGAAAGAGTTGAATATGGTGAACATATGTTAATATTGATAGTGGCGAGAGCAACTTTATTCTAACTTATGTTATGAAGGATAAATGATTAGATGAATGACGTTGTCTCATGATTTGTTGTTGTTGTCTTTCCCACCTATCGCAACCCCGCAAAATATGATATCCTGGAACTTGTCTCTCCTTGCTGCCTTTGGTGTATTGTATTTTTCAGGCTTCATGTAACGTCACGTACAAACGCGATGCCGCGTTAACTCGTGATTTACCCCACCATTTCGGAAAAATTACCCAACTAAGCTTCAGAGCTCCATATCGAAAGATTCCCAGGGCCACCTAGTACTTTGCTATCAGTCTATGATTCATAAATTTCGTGATGGTTTCCTCTAGAGCCTTGCGCCTGTTCCAGAACGGACTGAATGTCAAATCACCTCCAAAATGTCTTCGATATATAGGCCCAAGGAAGTCCAACCATGCGACATTTATTCTGACCCGTTCATGTGCATCGTGCGAGAGTCCATCAATAGCCTCGAATGTCTCGAATGTCGCGAAAGCTACCGCAGCAACCCTTTCAACTCCAGCAGCTGATCATCGGCAGCTTGGAATCGAACAAGAACTGTTTACTACTTCCCCTTATAGTCCCGGCTCGCCTCTTTTTCTTCCCAAAGGTGCACGCATGTTTAAAGCATTGACCGAATTTCTCAGTGCCCAATACTCACATTTTGGTTTTGAGGAAGTCATATCACCTACAATATACAAGAAGTCCCTATGGGAAAAGTCGGGACATTGGGAGAATTACGCCGAGGACATGTATTCGGTGGTTGGTCGGGGTGCATCTGGAGAAACCATCGGGGGTCAAAAAGGAGAGAATGAAGAATATGGTTTGAAGCCAATGAATTGCCCGGGTCATTGCTTGATATTCGCATCAAAGCAGCGAAGCTACCGTGAGATGCCTATAAGATATACTGATTTCAGTCCATTGCACAGGAACGAAATATCCGGCGCGCTGAGCGGTTTAACCAGAGTACGAAGATTCCACCAGGATGACGGGCACATCTTTTGTCGACCGTCACAAATTGGGAAAGAGATCTCTGGTACATTGGATTTCGTTAAAATGGTGTATACGACGTTAGGGCTTGGCCCATATAGATTAGCATTGTCTACTCGACCAAGCGATCATTACATTGGAACAAAGGAAGAATGGGACAATGCCGAGACAGCTTTGAAGCAATCACTGGATGAAAGTGGACAACCATGGACCATGAATGAAGGAGATGGCGCTTTTTATGGGCCAAAAATCGATGTAATTTTGAAAGATTCAGATGGAAAAGAGCATCAAACTGCAACAATTCAACTCGATTTCCAGTTGCCGAAACGTTTCGAATTAGAGTATCAAGCTCCTGCACCAGAAATTGAGGCCAAGGGAGAGACGACAGATGACCCCATATTGTTGGCTAAACAAGGAGCGGTGGCGCCAGTTCTAATTCATAGAGCTATTCTCGGGTCTGTCGAAAGAATGATGGCTCTCTTGATAGAGCATTATAATGGTCACTGGCCATTCTGGTTAAACCCCTCCAAAGTTATCATCCTCACAGTGAATGATTCGGAAGAAGTAGTGAGTTACGCGAATAAAGTCAAAATGCAACTGGGACAGGGAGCGTATCATGATTCATGGCCAAAATCACGGCACTCCATCGAGGTTCCTATCGAACTAGATGATAGTCCACGATCAGTCAAGAAGAAGATTTCTGAGGCAAAGCGAAAACGTTACGGTGCAATAATTGTTATAGGCAACAAGAATATCGAGAATAATACTGTCACAGTCGACCTATCAGGTATTCCACGAGGTGAGCACCTGGGTCCATCCAGGGATATTCGGAAGATCTTAAGTGAAGATGTTACATCGGATGATAGCAAATCATGGGAAGAGCAGTTGAAGACATTGAATATGGCCCCTACAAGATTACGGAGCGTGTTTTCATCACTGCTTCATCGCTACATATAGAATTATAAAATATTAAGAAATGATTTATGATCAGTTGCGTTTGAAGAACAGTAAATTAAATTTATGGGCCATGAATCGCTGTATCCGCTTTTATGTCAGTTGATTTAATACTGCAAAAGAGGCAATATATGGTGAGACTTTCATACTGCAAATGTTTCCTGGTGAAGAGCAATACAAGGGAGGTCCAAGCTTTCTCCAGACTCTCGTCCTTTCGGAAACCACAACTTCAAAAACTTATTACAGAAAATACTCATCTACTATTAAAGAATGCTTGTATAATAACAGTGCTTCACAATCTTTGATCAACAACTTACCATCAGCAGCACTAACTCAAGTTAAACTCACAACCTTGGAAGATGTCTACCCCAGCAGCGAAACGTCGTCGAATTGAAGCTGCAAGTACTCTCCAAAAACCCTTTCGATCACCTTTCAAGACCCCATTCAAATCGCCTCTTATTAAAGGCTCTCCTAATACTCGAGCTTCCACTGCCGCCGCCGCAGCTTCCACTCCTTCAGTTTCCAAGACTCCAACTTCTTACCCTGTCGTGAGCATCCCATCTCCAAAGACTGCGATTCGCACCAAGAAATCCTTTACGTCACCCATTTCAGCAGCAGTTATTAATGCCGATCCGGATATTGCGCCACTATTGAAGGAGCAGAGGGAATTAGAGAAGCTATTGAAGGAAGTGAAGGAGGAATTGGACACGGCAGAACAGGCGAAGAAGATTGAGAGGGATAGTAAAGCTAAAGATAAAAATGGAAGTGGAGAAATTGATGGGGAGTTGGTAGATTTGTGTGAGAAATGGAGGAGCGCGAGTAGATTGGCAGCAGAAGAGTTATTTGGGAAGGTTAGAGATAGGGTTAATAGGTATGTCACTCTGTGCTTGGGCTATAGGAGTCATGCTGATATTGTTCGATGGCGTAGGATGGGTGGACCAAGAGCTTGGAAGGAAATGCAAAAGAGGCAACATGAGTACCAAAACAATTGGGATCAGGATGAATCCAATCACAATAATAACAACAACTCTGATGACGAGGACGAGGAGGGTAAGGATGAAGAGAAACGAGACGTTTATGCAGAATATAGCATTGATCCCGAAACGGAGAATGAGAAGGCACAGAGAGCTCCAGGCCTCGGAGACACTGGAGAGAATCCCGGAGAGGAAGACGTAGGTTCATTAGTGTTTGATCTGACACATAACTAATTAGTACAGGAATTCACAATGGCAATGATGCTGAGAACGTTAAATGTGGATTTAGCTATAATTGGGTACGATAGAGAACAACAAAGATGGATCGATTGAGTGGCTGGTGGCCGTTGTTGCGTACTCTCGTAGGCAAATAATTGTTACATACGAAAAACAACTCTCGCGGTCATCGCTTGCGGTAAGATCAATACTCTTCCACTCTCATGTATAGCATTGCTTCAATGTTGCGGTAGACCAATTAGCGAAGAAGGCAAAAGATCTCCATGATATAATTAGCGATCTATCCTTAGCTAATTATTGCTGGTGAGAATTCGAAATCGATTCCCAAGTTGCTGTTTGAGATCGAGGGAAGGGAGATGAGGCCAAGAGAATGAGATGCATGAAAATTCCTTTGCGGGGTCATTACATAGATGCTCTGTAATAAAACATATTTCACTATTCTTCTTCAACTTGCTGGCAGAGTGCAGAGAGAGTCTTCCTCGGTGAAGCTGCGACATGGATATCACAAAGAAACTGTATTAGCATGCATACCGTGATTTGTTTCAAACGGTAGTCTATTTTGTCGATGGCGGAGTGCTTTTATGGTTGAACTAATAGAAATGAACAGTGATGATTTAGTGCATTTTAGTAAAACATGATTGCATTGAAATACGAGGAAGAAGTCATCCTCATACTTCTTTAAGTAGATAGTTCTCTACAGGACTCATCTAGGTAAACACCTCCATTACACGCACGATCTACATCTGCCCAACCGATACTTGCATTCCCACTGACTCCATGCAATACCACCAGACAGGAGTATAGGGATGACAAGCCCAGTTTCTGAACAGTCTTTCTCGCAAACTGCCTATCTCGTCTTCGTTCTTGCAAGAATATTCTGTCTGGTCGTTTTTGAAAACATAGCCTCCTCGTTGCCTTCTACGCCTCCGTTTTCCTTCTGCGTGGTCGTTGTCGAGATCATAAGTTCCTCGCTACCATCTCCTTTTCCATACCCCTCTACCGTGCCTTTTTCTTTGGTCTGTGTTTGGACTGTTTCCTCGACCTGCTTCTCGACCTCAGCTCTTCTCGCCTCCATCTCCATCTCCCTCCTCAACTTCACCTCTAATTCTTTTTTCTCCATCTCCATCTCCCTCCTCAACTTCACATCTAATTCTTTTTTCTCCATCTCCATCTCCCTCCTCAACTTCGCCTCTAATTCTTTTTTCTCCACATCAATCACTCTTCTAAATCGGTATCATGTTAGCAACTGACTTATGATCAACATAACATGAAGGGAAAACCCTCCAAAACTCACCTCACATCTCTTTCCATCTCCCTCCTCAATCTTCCCTGAACTTCCCATCTAACCTCTTCCCTAATATCCGCTACCGCTTCGGCCATCAACCTAACATTCCTCCCACTCCTCGTCATTTCTTCTCTAATCTCTGCCTTTAATTCCCTACTCACTTCTTGTCTCAAATCTCTCTCCATCTCTCTCCTCAATCTCCCCCGAACCTCCAATCTAACCTCCTCCCTAAGATCCGCCATCGCTTCAACAACCAATCCAACCTCTCTCCCACTTCTTTTCATCTCCTCTCTGATCTCCACCTTCAAATCCCTACTAACTTCCCGTCTCATATCCCCCTCCATCTCTCTCCTCAACCTCTCCTGAACCTCCCGCCTAACCTCCCCCCTCACATCCGCCACCAACTCACCCTCCCTCCCACTCCTCCTCATCTCCTCTCTAATCTCCCCCCTCAACTCCCTCTCAACTTCTCCCCTCACATCCCCTTCCAACTGCGATCTCAATTCCCCTCTCAACTGCATCCTCACTTGTTGTGTAACCTGTTCCGAGAACACTCTAACTTCTTCTCCTCCAAAATCTCCCGCACCAACAGCAGCAAGATCTCCACGTTCACCCCTCATCATGTAACTAACTCCCTCGCCCTCACAAACATCCCGCAATCTATGCGGTCCAAGACGTAGTAATTGCGAAATAACACGTTTTCGTTCGTTGGCCTCGACATATTTGATATCAGTTCCGCGATCCATTTTGTCGCAGATGAATAGCATCGTCGATATGAATATTGCCGTCGATATGATGATAGAGAGCATGAGCCCGATGGCGATGGGCTCGTTGATCGACGTCTTTTCCATTTCCATTTTATTTATTAGGGATTGATTAAGCGTTTGTTGGGTTTGGATGGTTTGGTCTCTTGGGAGTTTAGGGAGTTGGAGGAGTTGGATGAGAAAATCGGGTGTGTATGTTAAGTTTATATATTATTGTCTTGCGAGAATGCTAAATTCTCGTGGAGATGTGTCTTTCTGATTATACCTAGGTACCTACCTAGGTACCTAGAGTCACGCCGCTTGGTACTGTGTGCTATGGCTCACATACGGTGAATGTGTAGATTCATTGCTTCCAGGTGAATTATAGTACCGTACAGTCCAACCTGCAAAAGACCAAATGAGAATAGCACAACCAGGATACACTTTATGATAGAAGATGGCGATGAAACATGTCAAAAGACAGCTAGACCAAAGCCCGAAAAGTTTTGATACATCAGATACTCGAAATCATGTAAAATTTGCTTGATATAGTTCAGATAATCTACTATTATTCATCATCACCTCCCTCTCCAAAATCATCATCCTCATCCTCTTGACTATTTTCATCATCCTCATCTTCTTCCCCTCGAATAAATGGCACAAATCTAAAATCAACAAAACTAACACCACCACCATCTACCTCCACCATAAACTGCAAACTCAAAACACCTTGCTCATCACCCCTTACACTAACTTTACTCGCTAGTCTCATAGCATCCCCAGCAGCTTTCACCATATCGAATCGATAACTTTGAGACCACCTTTCTTTAACAGTGAAAGTTTCCAACAATTCTCTACCCTTAGAAAAGTCAACACTAGCGCTCCCCAGATGGCCAGAAGCAGATAGGCTGAAATAGGGATTTGAAGGAAGGGCAAGAAGGTCAAGTCGAGTTGGAGTCATGTTATTTAGCTCTTGAATAGCATCGAAAAGCCAACGAGCTTGTGTGATAATTTTAACCTGCATCTCATTTCGTTGAAATGGAATTTCTTCTGAGTCTTCTGGTTCATAGGTGTTGAGATTGCAAGTTGTAGTGACACCCGCTTCTTCGAGAATAATACTGAAAGGGAACCCTGTTCCGGCGTAAGAGAAGCGACATACGCCCGCCATTCCTAAAGCTTGATTGCTGAATGCATTTTGTCGATTGGGGCGAATGTTACTATTATATCCTTCGTTTTCGGGTTTGGAAAACCGCGAAGTAGTATCTGCAGCGCCGAAAATTTGTAACGTTTCGAGTAAGGCGGAAAGAGATATTTGAAAGGCAGGTAAATCATTTGAAGAAGCATCTTCTTCTTCATCCTCTTCGGTATTCGATTCTGGAAGAGTACAATTGAAAGTGGTAAATAAGGCTTTGTCAAGAAATACGATTCCTATAAAAAGTTACAAGGCGAACTACGTCCATTGAACTATGGGAACTAACCTTGCATTACTCTAGATTCTTCAACCGCAAATCGAATACCTTGGGTACTAATTTGGACTTGAACTTTGGTTGCGAATCGTATAGTATTTAGTAATTGGAAGAGCTGCCGGGCAGAACTGGAAACAGCTTTGAAGATTGGCACTGCTGGCTCTTCGTGAACTGGAGGTGTCGACATTGTGAAGATAGAGAGAGAAATAGGTGGGTGAATTATCAAAGAGGAACTGTTGTAGAGGAGATTGAATATTCTATCGGCGAAATCAGATATGACAATTATATTAACTCCTTTTGATTTTATCTCATCCAGCTATTGTACAAAAATGCGGTAACGTAGTATGTTCGTCTCGATCATGGAGGGGTATCTTAAACATATACTCCAACCGCACAGATCATATAAACTGAACCAAACCTACTCAATATTAGTACCTGTACGAAGAAGGATATTTGGATATAACATACGCAATAGCTGCTGAAGCAGGAAGTCCAAGTAATGGCAGAGTGAGAGCTGATCGGTCTAGAACGAATTGTTAGCTACAAGCCTAGTGATGGAATTCTTGAAAAGCATACTGAGACCAAATAATCCAGAAAGAAGAACTCCGATACACAATAACGAGAATCCCAAGGAGAATTGACTGTCTTTTCCAACGGTAGGGATGAAGGGATTGCCAACGGCACTTTCCCAAACTCCGTGTAATGAGGACTCCATATGATAAGTTTGAAGAATATGTAGTGGCAGGTAAAGTTGAATTGACTTTCTGAGAAGAAAGGTTCAGTGAAACTTAAGAAGAAATCAATTGACTGAAAATTTGAATGTTTTGCTATTGTCTCTGCTATGTACAATTGCTGTGGGTTGAAATCAATTGATAGCTCAAAGCTTACGACACCTGTGGAAAGCATCAGCAATCTGGCTTCACATCCTGGAATAGTTTAGTGTCGGAAAAAAGCTCCACCGATCCATGATGGGCCCAGAAGAACTAATGCACTTAAGCCACACGAGCCACTAAGCTGATTACATAATGAAGGGAACCTTAACCTCGATGATCAACTTCTCCAGGTTTCTTACATCAACCGCAACTCTTTCCATCTCTTTCCCCTCCTTCCTACTGATATTCTACAACTTTTGGTAACGACAATACACTTCAATATATTAAGAGAAATATAATAGGCAAGTAGCAACAGCAATATTAGCCCCTGATTTATTATCTATCTTTATATTCTAGAACTCCAGTAAGCCGTTCCTCAATCTACATGCAATCGATCAAAGTTGCTAACATGGCTTCCCAAGATATCAAAAGTGATTTGGGCCAATATTGGAATAGAACAAGCTCTAGAAGATTACGTACTCAGTTACCACAGTCTAGCATTGAGGAAACACCTAATTTCACAGAACATACTGTGTCAGAAGGATCGAGCCTAACAACTCTATCAACCCCAGAATCGATTTCAGATTTTGAGTACTCAAATCAAGAACTTCTTGAATCCAACACAGTCATGGGTCCAAATCTCCAAGATACACCAAAACGAAAGGCTGGTACAGAAGAGTCGCTGCCAAATTCCCAAAATGCGCCAAAGCGAAAGGCTACAGAGGAGCCCCCTACTTTTCCAGTATCTTCCAAAAAGATGAAAATGAGTGAAACCGAGTTGACCGACAATTTGAAAAAGACCAATGCAGAACACCCTGCCAACATTAACATTATACCTTTTCCAGAAAAAGTGAGTTTGCTAATGCGATCAATCATCAGTTTTCTGTCTAACAATAATCAAGCCCGCAGTGATCGAAGAGCGAGAGGGTGAAATTGATTTTCGAGTTGTTAACAATGACGATACGAATGAAAGTACTATCATTCTTTCGGGGCTGAAAGGCATTTTTCAAAAGCAACTCCCCAAAATGCCAAAGGAATATATTGCTCGTCTAGTGTATGATCGAAATCATTTATCTATGGCATTGGTAAAGAAAGCAACACTAGAAGTATTAGGAGGGATTACATATCGACCATTTGATGATCACGAGTTTGCGGAGATTGTTTTTTGTGCTATATCATCCGATCAGCAAGTCAAAGGATATGGTGCACATCTGATGAACCATCTCAAAGATTATGTCAAAGCTTCCTCCAAAGTCATGCATTTTCTTACCTACGCCGACAATTATGCTATCGGATACTTTAAGAAACAAGGATTTACCAAAGAAATCACTCTACCAAAACCTCTCTGGATGGGTTATATCAAAGATTACGAAGGTGGAACAATTATGCATTGCGAAATGGTTCCCAGAGTTCGCTACCTGGAATCAAACCGCATGATCGTTAAGCAAAAGGAGGTAGTCAATGCGAAGATTCTCGCCTTTAGCAAATCAGACGAAGTTCACGCACCACCCAAACAATGGAAGAATGGCGCATTTCCAATCGATCCCATGTCGATCCCAGCTATCCGCGCATCTGGTTGGACACCCGCCATGGACGAATTAGCTCGCCAACCTCGTCATGGACCAAATTATGCTCAACTTTCTCGCCTCCTGAGTTCACTTCAAAATCACCAGAAAGCTTGGCCATTCAAGGCACCTGTCAATGGTAACGAAGTCGCGGATTATTACTCTGTAATTACAAACCCGATGGATTTTGAAACTATGGAAAGAAAACTCGATCAGGATTCATATGAGAAGCCAGAAGATTTCGTCGCGGACGCCACGCTCGTTTTTTCCAATTGTAAAAAATATAATAACGATTCCACGCCATATGCAAAGTGTGCGAATAAGGTGGAGAAGTATATGTGGAGTCTCATCAAGGAAATTCCAGAGTGGTCTTATCTTTTGGATAATTAGTACATAGATGTTATGTGGTGGGTTGAACTTAGGCGTTGTTGGATTTGAACGGGAAGCGATAATCTGTAAATTGGACAGGCGATATGAATACTATGATAGGAAATAGGTAGTATGCACAAGTTGGAATATGATGGATTCGATGGGAATAGCGTGGTACCTATGGCGTAGTACGGGATAGGATGGGATGAGATAGGTTTGGAAAACCCAATTCCCTCGAACACCTAGATAGACATTCGATATTAAGATAAACATAAACAACACGATACCTACTAGGTACCTGCCTACCAATGTAACGTATCTAAACTAATAATATCTAATCACATATATAAAAACTAGATACTCATACAAAGAAAGAATAATTAATAACCCGAATATATATTATATCCTTACATCGAATTATTCGATTAATAAGTAAATATTTATTTATCTATTTATCTATTTATCTATTTATCTATCTATTTATTTATTTATTTATTTATTTATTTATTTATCTATCTATTTATTTATCTATTTATTTATTTATTTATCTATTTATTTATCTATCTATCTATCTATTTATCTATCTATTTATTTATCTATCTATCTATCTATCTATCTATCTATCTATCTATCTATCTATCTATCTATTTATCTATCTATCTATCTATCTATTTATAAAAATATAACTTAAAAAATAAATATAGTAATCTTACTTATAAAAATATAAAAATATCATTCCTATAACTACCTACAAGTATAACTCTTACAATTACGATTATAAAAGAATATCTATTCATTTACTCGTATAATACTTTTATCAAATAATCTTTATATCAAATAACTGGAGTCGATTATTAATACCTACCTAGGTAGATAAATATTCATCTTCTTCCCAGCCGGATATCCATCTCATCAATCTCATTCTTTTATTCTACCTAATCTATCATTATAAAATTCTAAAGTTCCAACTAATCAGTTATTCATCACTCTCATCTCATCCACTCCACACCACACAATTCAAGCCAACCTTAAGAAAGAGACAAAAACTACATCAAAAATCACGAATCAAGATGATTATAGATAACTGCGTATATTGAATACTAGTACTATAAAAGCTAGGTAGATATTACCATCTCCTCCTCCCCTCTCCCCCCTCCTCTTCCATTCCATTCCATTCCAATTCATTACCATCCATTCATTCCTACCCATCCAATCCCATGCCATTCATGCCAACCATCCATCTTATGCACCACCAACCAAACAACAATAATAAACTAATATAAAGAGAAGTAAATAGGTGCCAAAGCAACTTTATACCCCACCAATCCCCAATCCCCAAATCCGACACCCAACCATATCCTACCCGCTTCCCCACCGCCCATATGCTAAAAACGCCATGCTCAAGTGAAGACCTCCATTGAAAAATGTGATGAAGATGTGTAATCCATTCCATATAAACGCCGATATGAATGTATGTATATGTGAGAATGCTTCCTGCGAAAGAAAATATGTGTTTGATGTATGCCCCCTAACCTCGAGTTGCTATGAATGATTCCTATCCCGGGGAAAAAGCAAGAACTGAATAACCCTCACATTACTACGAAGAATAATCTTCATATTCAGGAACATAACGGTTTCCATGAATACTTCTCAAAACATCCGGATGTCTTGTTGCATATAGATAACGATGTTCTCTACTAGCATCAGCTCTTCTCATGACTGCTTGTTCAATATCCCTTCTTCTCATAATTGTTTGTTCGATAGATTCCCTTGAACTTTCACCTTCGGCGTGCATTCTTGAAAAAGACATATTTGATGAGTCAATACGTCCAATATCAATATATCTTGAAGAAATTTGTCGACCATTTGATGAATCGAAGAGAGGTGTTAAGTTTGTCGTTCTCGCATGGCTCGCATGACTCGCAGGCTGAGCTGATGGATGTGCAACATAAACCCTTGATCCATTAGGAGCTGGTCTCGTACCCACGATATTGGCATTTGGATTCAAATTTGGATTCGAGATACCGACACCAACATTCTCGTAAGCATCTTTCATCCATTGTTCCCAAGCTTCATCCATTGGGGCCGTGATATTGCCAGCTTCTCTTTCAGCAGCTGCTGCTATCAGTCTCTCATTCAATGCAGTTCCCACACTTGTAATCTCGATATCACTCTCCACATCATCATCTTCTAATTCATTATCATCCAATTCTTCCTCCTCCTCCAAGTCTTCTTCTACTGCTGGCACTGCAAATCGCACAACTGTAGGTCGTAACTCTGGTGATACCCAATCCTCTATTCCATCACCCGTTGTATCCCTAATAATGATTCCTTTTTCTTTCTCAAATCTCTCCTTTGCCCATCTTGTGCCTTCCCATTTTGTCAACGTAGCAATTTCGTATTCAGTAAGTCTCAAATTATCGAAAGCTCGAAATAGTCGTCTGTGCCACGGGAATCGAGAGAGTCGAACGCGATGCGGCCGGTAAGAGTAATCTAAGCCAGGATACTTTGCTTCCTGCGAAGTTAGGTGACCATAAAAAGCTTGAGTTTCATGACGAACTTCAGGCACCAGACTTCGCTGCAAGAAGGCTTGGAAACTTTGCGGATCGCCAGTCTTGGGTTTGGGAAACATACACTCGTACACGAGCTGGTCGACAGGACGGCCTTTCATGATGGCTGAGGAGGCGAATTGTACGTTAAAAGTAAGACTGGATTTTACGGCGAGGGGGGCCTTAACAATTGACCGTGGCGGTGTCCGAGCTGAGGTTCGTGATTGTAAAAACTTTAGATACCCCGGGGCAATCCTTTGAAGGATGATTGGGCACTAAAGGAGCGGAGGTTCTTTCTTCCAAAGTTTGTGTAATCCGATGATTTTGACCAAGACTTGGAGTGCCAGCCAGAAAAGTAAAACTTATCAGTAATGGTGGAGTTGTGTTAGGTGAATTTGAGCTTTCTCCTGATCCAGAGTGAGTGAGAGTTCCGGGCGAATTGTGATTGTCGTATAGTATCCAATGTGTAATGATTCACGAATTTCTGGTAGGGATTTGTCACTTGGCGATGTCGATGATGTGAGATGATTGAACAAAGGTTGAATGGATTTCAGACACAAGAAATGTCGTTTCGAAATATCTGGTTGATTTTTGATTGCCACTGAAAGCGGTACAGCTCAAAGATATCTACCAGGTAGAAGGGAAAAAGTAAACGTCGTCGATGAAAGTTGAAAAAGTAGAGAAAGTTGAGTTTGACGAATTCGTTTCGAGAAGAAGAAAGATTGAGTGTCTTTTTCTAAATTTCTTTTCTTTTCTTGTCTTTTTTTTTCGGTCAACTTCCAAGCTGAATATTGAAGGAATGAGTGAGATTGTAAAATAAATAGGAATTAAAGAGGCGATGGTGAGATGATGAAGAAGAAGGTCAAAAGAAGGTCGGACTGGCGGTGGAGTTTAAGTTGAAGTGGATATTGGAGGAAGGAAGCGTGGTGTTGTGGTCAAAGTACAGGTAAGAGAGGTGAGAGGTAGGTAGGTAGTGATTAGTATGTAGTATGTAGTGTGTAAAAAAGGGTAAGGGTTCGGGTTGCGTTGTACTACTTGTATGGGTGTTGTGTTGATAAAATCTTCTCTGATGAGCTGGTTAGCTTTCTTTTGGGGGGAAGGGGGGTTGGATGAATGAATGAATGAATGAATGAATGAATGATATGATATGATATGATATGATGTGGTGCTTGGATGCTTGGATGCTTGGATGCTTGGATGTTTGGATGCTTGGATGCTTGAGGAATTGAGTAATTGGATGGATCATTTCATAGTAAGAAATGGATTAGATCGTTGTCTATAACCACCGTGGGTCGGTCAACAATTCCTTTCGTTCTCTACTTACTTGTGAAGTCTTCGTATCCTATCGTATGGTCCAGAAATTAGATCGTAACCCCAAACCCAGATCAAATGGGGGTGGTTTGCGTTGTTTGCTTTGGGAAGACCGAGTAGAGGAGAGGGGAATCGATAATCAATTCAGGAGAAGTCAAGTGGAAGAAAAACGAGTCGTCGTCAGAGGTATGAAGTGTGTATGTAGTATGTAGTATGGTATGTAGTATGTATGGCATAAAGTTAATAAATGAGAGGTAACAAGTATGTAGATGATTCGGATCTGAGACAATTGGTTTGAAAGTCTCGTGAATTCCTTTTAGGAGGGTGGTAAATCGATGCGAGATGGTAATCAGTTGTCGTTAATGATTCGTGATGTATATAATTCAACCCCTTTCTTTCCTTTTCCTTTTCCTTTTCCTTTCATTCACTTGTGGTCGTACTTTTAAATCAATTCTTTCTTGGTTTTGGGGTCAATCATACGAGGAGGTTGAAGTTGAAGTTGGGTGGAGATGGAGATGGAGATGGAGATTGAATCCAAATTGGAATAAGAGTCGGGTCCTAGAATTCCAATATCTTTCTTCCCTCAACCGGAAGATATATCAATTGTTGGATCTTGAATACCTAGGTAAGTAAATATGTATCTGTATAGATGAGAATTCAAGTCGGTAAGTAAGATATATCACTGTCGATAGATATCACCCCAAGAACTGAATCTCCTTTTCGTCGCCAGTCCCGTCGATACGAATCAATATGCAGCCCTCTCTTTATTAATCTATCGAAACAATATATCAATCGACGACCCAGGCAAGAGAATCCTCGTCGATATTGAATTTTCTATTCTCAGAAATCCAAATGTCCCGAGAAATGCTTGGAATCTGCTGGGAAGGTTTATTTTCCTTTAACGTTAAACCAACCCCCCCACCTGGGTTACAATGCAGTGGGTATGGTGATGGGAGTTGCGGTAAGTAAGGTCGATCAATTAGATTGCTTGATTGGAACTGGTGGAATCGAAACCGAGAATGGAGAAAATTGGGGGCTGGGTGGTGATGATGATGATGATGATGATGAGGATGATGATGATATTTAGAAGAGGGTATAACAAGGACAAGGACAAGGACAACGACAACGACAAAAAAAGTATAAAAAGTAGGTATATGTTTCTTTTGTGAATCATCCAAATATGCAGATATATACTCCGTAGGTAAATGAGTACACAGTAGATATGTAAATATATGCAAGTAGGCGATATAGATCTGACTTGAGAATGGAATGGATTATCGCGTATATGCCACCATGACTTGTACTTGTACTTGTACTTGCATAGATATTGAAGTTGTACACACAACTAGGTCTAAGGTAGATACGGTCGGTAGATAGCTTGTTCATCCATATCATCCCCATCATGCATTCAACTCCAATAGATGCACCATCACCAGAAGACGAGTTTACAAAATCCATGTTATCATTCCAAGTCCTGGTCGTCTTCACATCCACGATCTCTTCCATCGCTCACAATGCATATACATCACATAACATCACATACATACATACATACATACATACTGACCTCCCTACACATACACATACATCTTCACATCATCCATCTCACCGCATCGTTGCATGCGATAATATATAATTCATCCCCGACCCATCCGTTCCTCCATCCATCCATCCATTCATCCATCCATCTATCCATACAACAGCAAAAGATGCTTCAAGAATCCATCACGACAAGGGTCATCCAAAGGTCGCCAAATCGGTCAAAGTACCATGATAGGTATTCATTCGCATAAAGTTACATTATTACATTGGATCCGACCTCTTTCGCAACCTTTGTATATTAGAGCACACAACACTCACACCTCCACTCAACCAATCTTTGTTTATTTTTTTTCATTTTGATTTTCATTTTTCCTGAGATTGGATGTGTGAAGTTGGAGTGTCCTCTCGATATTATTGTTGTCGTGTTCATTGACGTGGTCATTGTTCCACTCTCATCATCATCTACTCATACCTTATCAGAATTCCCAGAATCATCCAATCCATCTACCAGTCAGTATTCATCACATGTTACCCCGATAATAATGATGCATCTACTCGTACTCTACAGAACTACAGTAATTACCAAAAGTAGGTCTCTTGAGTCTTCACCCCAAAACGACCAGTCCCAGTCCCATTAATATCGATATATTCGACCAGTCCACGTCTCCGACCCTATCTATCTTCCTGTCGCCCCAAAGAAAGTTGCAAAAAAGACGAAGAAGAAAAGAAAGCCCCAAGCAAGCAAGCAAGCAAGCCAGCAAATAAGACCTCTCCTCCTATCCTCCTAATCTACCCATCCAGTCGTGCCACCAAACATTTCCTCTCTTCCCCGTACCTATCACATTATCCCACCACAACATCTTCATTCTTCATTCTCCCTTCTCCCATTTCCCTTCTCCCATCTCCAATCCCATCCATACCCTCACCCACAAAGTAATCCAGTAATCAAGTAATCCCGTAATCCCGTAATCCCTAACCCCCATCTCCCTATAGCTACCCTCGCCATCTCACCATCCCAAGCAATCAATTACTCACTCACTCACTCACTCACTCATCCACCACATATCCCCACCCACCCAAACAACCCCAACCCAACCCAACCCAAATCAAATCAAATCAAATCAAATCATCCGGCAGACAAGGAAGGTACCACCATACCACCATACATACTTCATAAGCTTACCACCATCCATACCTACCATCGAAAGAAATGCAAGTCATAAGATCCAATCACTCGATCTCCCACGATCCAGCCCTGTCTACCCTATCCTGTCTACCCTATCCCGTCTGCCCTATCCCGTCTGCCCTATCCCGTCTGCCCTATCAAATCGGATTGCTGAGGTTCATTCCTCCGTAAACATACGGAGTAATTACTCTGTCGAAGATTTCATTTTCCCGCATATCATGTTATATTATATCATATCATGTCATATCATATCATCGCATGCCTTCCTATCCCGAGGTCTTTACTAAACTATCTTACTACCACCATACTAATCCATCGTATGCAACCCCGGCAAGTAAGTTACTACAACTACCTACCTACCTACGGAGTACAAATATAAATGGAAATAATCAGAAAGCTTGATGTCCAATTATTGTATTGTGGGTTCAAGCAAAATATATGAGAATAAGAATTAGATATATATGTATGTATGTATTAGAGAATAAGTAGGTAGTAGTAATCGCCCGCTATTCAGTTATGTGATAATTGTTCTTTGTTTATGAAGTGATATGTATATAGGTATATATATCTAGGTATACCTCGATAGCCATACCTAAATATCTATCTCTATCCCCTAGACTGCTAACTAGTGGCGCCGTGTGTAGTCCGTGCATTGAACAAGAATATCAATAACCTTATAAATGGTATTATATATAAAAGTTTTAATATTATATTTGAAATTTAGAATTTATTGAAAAAATGATAATAAATATATTAATTATATTTCCAAGGTTTTTTTAATTATGAAATAATGATTTTAAGATTTTATAAATATTATTATATTTTATTTTTGGGAATAGAAGATATTTGTAGGCAATTTCTATATGATTTATATTTAAAAATATATATCAAATCAAAAATTCAATATTTATTAAAAAAAGAAAAAGTAAATAAAAAATTATATAAAGATTTTCAAAATATATTATTTGTTTTTATTAAAATTGTAAATATTGAACTATTATTATAGAAAAACATATCAAAATAACAAGAATTCTCAAAATCCTAATGTTCTAATTGGTTAGTAAGTGCATATTAAGCAACAACGCCGCTAGTTGGCAATCTAGGGGATAAATATAAACCCCAATCTAATCAACCCTCCCAACCCCTCATTCTTCACGCAAAGCACACAAAGCACGCAAAGCACGCATCAAAGTATCTCCCTATCCTATCTTCACTCGTACTTATCCAATACTTCCCTCCCTCCTCTCCAACTAAACAACAATCACCTACGCATCGGTAGGTAACTAGATAGATTTCTATTTTTAATATAAGTTTATAACTATTTCCATCTTTTCCAATAAAAAATAATTCATCTAAACGACGAATCTTAAAGCCGAGCTGTAAAATATCTACCTACCTACCTACCTACCTACCTATTATACTGGATGTAGTAGTTATATTTAAGATATCGGATAAACAGTAAATGTTAAATACTAAAGACTTAATGATTCATATGATACCTATAGCTACCTATAGCTACCTATAGCTACCCACCTACCTACCCATGTATTCCTCTCCTCTCCCCTCCCCTCCCCTCCCATCCAGCCATCATGATCACCTACCCCTCCTCTCACACTCACTCACCCACTCACCCACCCACTCACTCACTCACTCACTCACTCACTCACTCACCCAGCTATTCCTCCCTTATCCATCCATCCATCCATATACCTTACCCCCACCCCTCCCACCCATCCCATCCTACCCCTCCCAATCTCAACCCCCAATCTCAACCCCCAAACCAACCCGCCGGAACACATACACATACACATACACAAACCCAAACCCAAACCCAAACCCAAACCCAAACAAACACCGACACAGAACCCAGCAGAGCTGGAACTCCTCCACCATCTTCTCCCACCCAATCATTCACACCCCACCTCCCACCTCGTGATATTTCACATTTTCTACATTTTTCACATGAAGGATACTGTGCGTTACATTGCGTTGCATTGCATTGCATTGTATTGCATTGCGTATCTACGATACGATACGATACCTAGGTACTGGACTCGTAGTTGTGTGAAAATTTGGTAAAAAGTGGTGATTTTTTATATTTTTATTTTTATAATCCTTTACCAGCTGAACTGAGATGAGATGTGGGGAGGGGAGGGGAGCTGGGAGCTGGGAGCTGGGAGGCGAAGAGAAGAGGGGAGCTGAGAATTGGAGGGGAAGAAAAGGTCAGGGGTAAAGGTAATCTTAAGAATAGATAGATAAATAGATAAATAAATAAATAAACAAATCTTGATATGACATACTGTGCTAAATAAAAACTGAAGACTGAAATTTAAGGATGTATGTATCGTATATATATTATTATACTGTGTACACATAAGCATTCCCCAAAAAACGATAAGTAATTACTAGCTTATTACTTAGGGGAGCTAACATAATATCATGCTAGGTGTGTGAACATGAACGTAAACGCGACTTGTAATGTGAATGTGTAGTAATAAGTAGTATGAATGAAATTGCAAGCTATCTAGCGAGATAAAAAGAAGCTTGCGTTCTTCGACCTTTCATGATATCATAACAAATAGATAGGTTAGCAATATGAATGCTAAAGCAAATTCTTCCCATCTATATTCGCGTGTATTGAATCAGACAATGAACCGTGTAGAGCCTTATACCCATAGCAATACCTGCCATTTCCCCTCTAAAACACCTTTTTTAATCACGCCTCCATCCTTTTCCAGCAAACACCAATGCGAAAAGCAAATTCCGGGTATCAAAATTTATCGTAAGAATCGTAAGAAGCAAATAACCGACCCGTTCTCCCGCCTCCCACCAGCCAAGCAACCCCAACTACATTGTCTATCACAATTCCATGCTTTCTCCTCTCGGATCAGAAGACGTGATTGATATAACCTCAACAATCGTGGCTTCATCTTGCTCGAGTTCTTTGTCTCTGAATTCATCACCACCCACATCTCCCTCTCCCTCCTCCTCAACAACACTTCTGAACGACGAAACGAGCACATCTTCCACCACAAGCTCCCCCTGCTTCACCAAAACATCCACCACATGTGCCCCTAACTCATCTCTTCTCACTCCCTCTTCCTCATCATTATCCTCTATATCCCCATCATCTTCCTCTTCACTCGTACCAAGCATATCATGCCTAAACTCTTCAAACGCATCCGCCAACTCGCAATAATCATTCATCAATAGGTCAAAATTCGCTTGCAGTTTCTTGAACGCGGATTTATAATCTACCTCTCCCTCACTCTCACTATCAGAAGTCTCGGACTCTGAATCTGATTCTAGCACTTCGGAGTTATCAATAAAACTATTAACTTCATAATCTTCATTCAAAACAAGTTCGGAATCCTCGTCTTGGGTATCGTAAGCCGAGGATTGATAATCGAGATGTGTATCCCCAATCAATGCTCGAGCTCTCTCTTCGTCAGCCTCGCTTCCATATTCATCTTCGTAGATACGAGGGATTTTCCCAGGAAAATCAGCATCCTCATAGAAGGGGCTAATTCCATTGCCGCAGCCAGTGCAAAATCCGAGCGTCAAATCTACCCTTCCAGCTGCGTCCTCCCAAATCTCATGACCACAATCTCCACATCGAAGGATTTTATCAATTGGGTCATAGAAGGGGAAATTCTCATCTTCGTGAAGGTCCTCTTCCTCTGACAATGTGGGAAAGATATCTTCATCATCCTCGGTGGTAACGCCTGCTGCTAGTTCATTCTCGTCCATGGGCGTGGAGATATCTTGATGATCCATTGTATCTGCGTCGCTATTGGCTTCAAGTGTGAATACTTCCGACATGCTTTCCAGGCTTACGTTAGATCTCCAGGGCTTCCGTTGACTCGGGGATTGATCCAAATACAACTTGATATGTTTGATCTCTTCAATGAGGTGTTGCAGTGGTGTTAATTGGCGACGTGTGTACAGTCCCACCTCTATTTCCAGGTATGCATACAAGCCTACATGATCACGCAATCCCAAGAAATCTGCGACCACTTCTTGAGAAAGTGATTGTATACTAGCATATAGCGCCGATAGAATGGGCGGTGGTACAAGCTGATCAATTTGTGCATGGATGGAATCCAGGGTCGATAATTCCTGAGAGATGTATGCTTCAACATCTATCTCGCCAATATCGAGTTCCAGTAATGCTTTCCGCGTTTGCTCAAAGAGTGCAGGTACATTGCCAAGCTTCTCCATCAATAGTTTGAGTGGGACCGTTAAGTCAACATTGTCGCCGCTGATCTCAGCGGAGGACGCGACGCCTTGTTGTTCCAAGTCCGTAACAGATTCTGAAGGGGTAGGTGATTTCGAAGGCCTGGAGTATGAGGAGTCAGCAACTACACACCAAAAACCCTGATGAGATGAAACTACAAGGGAAAGGGACGAAGAAGCAGAAAATTATATCTTCAAGTGGAAACAATAGAGCACCTCGGAGAAGCTTACGTTGAATCATTCATTTGGGAATCCTCGCTAAGCCGAACGCGTTTCAAGGGTGGTGGACTAATCATATCCGCAGCCGCTCTTCGCTGCGACGCTTGACGGCTTGAACTCAAGTCTGAATTTGTAGCAACTGATCTTGGTGTCTGACTGATGCTGGTTACACCCATTTGAGATGGTGGAGCTGGAGATGGGGATACCAGCTCTTGCGACCAGTTAGACATTGATTGTCGACCAATTCTAGTTGTCCCTTCGTGAAATGGATTTGGCGTGGAAGGGCCAATTCCGTTGTCCAACCTGGCTGCTGTTAAAGCGAGTTCCTCAAAATGGCCTGTCGACATTGGAGAAGATTTGGACGCAGTTGTTGTTTGCGTTTGTTGGCTTGACATCATGGCCATTTCGGCAACACGAATAGCAACCAGTTCTCGTATTTCACTATCATGCCGAAAAACGGAAGCAGAGCAATATTCTCCAAAGAGAGTTTTCATGCTTAATCCTGTATAGAATTAGTCTCCAAGAAATTTGGAAGTATTCAAGTGGTATGGGGATATTTAGTTACACAACAGAAGGGGAAGGATGGGAGGGTTGGTTACATACCTTCATGCCATTCTTCTTCATCTACAGTACATGGATAAACATCTTTTGGTTTGAAGATTTCAACAAGATGACAAAGTTCGGCATATGACGAGTGACGTGAGTATGGAAATGTGATTACCTTGGGAAGGCCCTTTTCAGGAATAGCGTCTCTCTTCTTGTCGGGTACTACAGTAGATTTCTGTGCCAACTTTCGTAGCAAAGATTCACCAAGTCCCTTTAGAGAGATTGTATCGCTACCAAATTGCATTCCATCTAATGATATGGCCCCCTTCGTAGATATCAGTTCTGCAAGAAGCATACTTCGAATGTCTTCAATTATGGGTTGATCTGTCTCGGCAAAACTCATTAAAATGTTAGTACAAATCCATTCAGAAATTAGTGTAAACTCACACTGTCTCTAGAAATTCCTTGACATCATCGAAATCCATGGCGACTTCATAACTTGGTACTAGATCGCCCCAGCCACCTCCAATACCAACTTCTGCTATTTCCACTCCATCTGGTCCACGGGCAATAAATGGGCGTATCAGCACAATGTCATCCTCTCCATAAGCCGAGCAGCCCATTCCCTTCTCACAGCTGTGGATTCGTACGCTTTTATCGGTAGTCAAACAACCTTCTTTTGGGCCATTTCCAACAATACATCCGACTAACACAGGACCCTCAGGTGCCAAGAATCGTGATTGTCCATCAGACCCATCTTGACGCAGCGATTGGTACAACTTGTACTTGTATTTGTCCACATGAATCTGCGAGTCGAGTGTTCGTGATAGCGCTGCCCAAACCTCTTCATATCCAAACGTCCAGGCCGAAAAGTGGAACTTGGTATTTGGTGGATATTTTCTGACTTTCTCAATCATTTCCTTCAAGCCATCAGCCTTCGTAGGGAATGCTAATGGTCCAGTGTTGCTTGTATCGAGGTAAATACAATCTAAAGTCTTCATGCCGCTTGTGTACTCGATCAAAAATGGACTTCGTGTCAAATTATTGACGAACCATGGTTCCGATCTAATGTCCCCAGTATACAAGACTGCAGTATTCTCCTTTTCAAACAAGAACATTACTGCCCCTGTGCAATGATTGGCATCAAACAATGTAACCCTTACTTCATTTTTCGGCGCCAACTCAATCAATGTTGGTGTCTCTAATGGAATCGGTTTCAAAACACTCTTCAAATGTTTATAAGTTCTCTTCTCCTTTTCTAAAATACCCTGCGCCAAGTTCAAGCGGTCTCTTCTCTTTTCGAGTCTCAACAAGATTTCTCTGGTAGCCGCCGAACAGTAAACAAATGGCAGTTTGACACGATCATTATCAAGTCCCTCAAGATGGTCGCTGTGAACATGGCTTAAGAAGCATGCTAGCGGAGCAGTTCGACCTATAATTTGGCGAAAATGGTCGACTAGAACAATGTCAGTCACAAGCTTACTAAAACAAGCCGCTGAATGTTTGATCCACCATAACACTATGAAAGATATTCACTTACCACGAATGTCAGGGAACTCAGGCATGTACCCGCCAAATGTCGACATTTTGAAGGATCTATTCTCATACCATTCAGATCTAGATCAAATATCTCATGTTGAGATGATTTTGATCAAACTCTTCAAAAATGTTTCAGAGGAAGAATTGGAGAAGAACAAATGGATGATACTGTTAGGTAAACGCGACAAAAGACACGCTAAGACAGGCTACCACGTGATTCTACCCCGCACCATATACCACTTCACTTGCCCAAATGGACGTTTCTTTATGTCTCGCAAGAGAATAGAAGAGAACTGGTGGAACTGGGAATAAACAAGGGGATTTCAACCTTTGAATGCTTATATTTTGACAACCAGTCGAAAGTGCATGGTATTATGATATTGATTCGAAAAATCTACGATCATGTGTAAACTACGTATACGACTCGCTAGTACTCCTACCAAACAAAGAGCAAATATAAGACCTCCTAAAAATCATTACCTCTACATTCATGACATCTGATTTGCCGCCTTTGCTCCTTCTTTAAGAAGCTCATCCAAATCCATATCTAGTTCCATACGCTTTTGGTCGCTCCTCCTTGCATATTCGTGGCTCATGTCCGATAAGCTTATTCGATTCTGGAAAGAGCTTCGAACCCAATCTTCCAGAAAGGCATCATGGTCATCAAGCATCTTATTCCTTGCCTTGGTATCAACATCAAGCAGTATCGGAAGTGGGTAACTGCTGAGGTAAATGTCGTATGGCCTGACCTCAAATAGGGTACTGCAGGCGAGTGCATTTTCAGTGTCAGCATATTCAGCCATGTTGGATTGATATTTCTGGATCTCCTGTGAGAAGAAATCACAGAGATCACCGAATTTCCCTTGACAAAGGATCTTCTTGCCATTAACATGTATCATAGGCTTGCGGTTGACCTAAAAGAATGAGAAAGTGATTCTTGAGTGAAAGGAAGATTGACTTGTTCGAAGGTCGAATCAAACAGTCGTTTTTTGCTACTTACTGCAGTTGTCTTGTCATGATTCTTATACTGGGCCCAGAAATGTTCAAGTTTGATTAACTGATCAGAGTAAATCAATCTCTTCCAGATCTCAAGGAACTTGTACGCTCTTTCGAGCGCTACATTATCTCCAGGCTGGTATGGCTCGATAGTGAGCTTGAAGTGTCCAGATGCATCTTCATGGTCTAGAATAATGAGTTCTAAACTAGGAGAATAGTTGGAAGGAGAAGAAGCACTCACATTCTATTGTAACCCCAAGACCTCTCTGAACGGATTTGAACGAATCGTCCCAGTCTCCAAGAAGAGCACGGAAAAGTGTGTTCTTTCTGATAATCACTTCTCTCTTGCCTTCGGCAAGATCCATTCCATTATCTTCCGAGGACTCCTCACCAATAGTGTTCATCACTCCTTTGTTCAGTAGTGCCGCTGAGAGCTTTCTTGGCATCTCAGGGCTTGATCCAAAAGGAGTGGTACCACCAGATACAGCTGTTCCGACAGACACGTTTGCGCTATAAGCAGAGGAAGGTCTCGATTGTGTCGATTTGCTCCCTGTCATACTGTATACCGAACGATGACTGGTATTGGCACCGCTGGAAACTTTCTGAGCTGGTGGGGGAGCCATGGAGTAATTGCCAGTAACCTCTCTTGATGTTTTGTGAATCGGTGGTAAACTGGCTAATGAAGGGACTCCTGGTGGTTTGTCGTTCAACCAGGGGAATGGCTCATTTTTGAAAATAGTCTCCCATGCCATTCTATCGGCAAGCCACTGAATTAAGTAAGTAACAAATCATAAATGATAAGATGACAATGAACGAGATCCGTGCATTTGAAGATGAGGAAATGCTCGAGACTTACATGTTTTTGAGAACGGTCGCAGTTAGGATGACGCGCCCTCACAAAATCTCTGCTAGTTTGCAGAGCACGAAAGAAAGCATGTCGGAACTCAATACCCCCCATATTGTATGCTTTCTTTTGCATTTCATTCTCTTTGGGTCCATAAGTCAATGGACCATCCTCTCTGGCCCTCACTACATTCCCACTGTCTTTTTCTGTTTCTCCAACTCTCATTGCTTTGAAATTGCGTGGCGACTCTTCGGATTTGATTGTCCTACCTTGCCTTGTGGTTCCTTCAGACCTGTTTTGTCGATATCTGTCTCTTCCCATAGGTTCAATCGGAGGCGACCTAGATCTACGTCGACTAGTCGCCTCTTCAGCTTGCCAGCTACTGCCAGATCGCCCACTTCTAGACTTATCCTCGCCACCACGGCGAGAACGTACAGTGTTAAGGTGATTGGTATCTGAAGAGCGAAGAATATATGACCTAGGTGGCTCGTTGCAGGGAAATGTACCTCTTTGACGAACTAATTATAAGTTAGCAAAGATACATCCGAACCCAATCAATCTGGTAAATGTATACAGTTAGACACCCAAACTTTACTTCCTGCCATCCACTGTTGCCACTCCAAGCTTTCGCGTGGATATCTTTCCTTCATGTTTACCAATGCCTCTCGGTATACTGCTAGTACATTTGAATTGCCAGCTGCATTAAGAAGCACATCTTCGATCTTGGTTGAAAAGTTGGGCTTTGGTCTGCTTGGGAAACTCAACGAGCCCTTCTCCGGCGAACTCGTAATCTCGCCGGACTCGGAGCGCATTGTCTCATCACTGAAGGATAATTGTGATGTCTTGGGGAGGATACCCGGCCATGGATCGTTTGGAACTACAATCGGATTAGAAGTGAACCTTACCTACCCAGCCAAATCACATCACTTCTATGTGAATGAAATGAAATATTGAAACTCACAGAACTGGGTCCACTAGAGCGCGCTGTCAGTATTTTGATGCCGACGTGAAGAACTCATGCAATACAAAGAGATAGCTGGGAGTTTACATACAACGTGATATTCTGCTTTTCCCAATGCCCAATCCTCAGCACATTGCGGATTTTGCTGGTAAATTTGGCTTAGTGTTGCCTGAAATTGTTTTGTAATTTCAGACGTTGGAATTCCATTTTCCCTTGCTTTTTTCGCCATCAAATCTTGCTGTGTTCTGTAAGCTGATTCCATGATTGAAGATCCCAAGTTATCTCGGGGAGACTTGAGACGTATTGGGGAAGTTTTAAAAGGAGACGACATGATTAAGATCGTTGGTTATTTTTGGAAAGGTGAGTTGTGGTTGTTTGTTTACCTCCACTTGTGCTTTTTTTTTTTGCTTCCTAAAAATGGTAGGCACGTTGCCTCTTCTGGAAATCCCGACCAATGCTCCCTCTTGATTTGGCTCATCCAAGACTCTTATCTTTATTTCGAATTAGAGTATCCAGTTGGGATAAGGAAAATGACGATAATGGTCATGAGTATCATAGACGGGAAAGTGAATTGTATATCGCTTCTCTTGACCAGCAAGTTTCAAGTGAATGTACATATTCACATTATAATTGAATTAAAAAGCTTACGTCTGCAGCTCACGACGAAGACTTCGATTGATACAATGTACCTTCTCGAGCATTTCTCCCGACTCGATATACTAGGTAGGCATTTGGATCATACTCCAATGTCACAAAGACTCTCTCCCCCCCCACAATTTCAAACGCCAATGTCAAACACGGCAGCCCATCGACATGCATTCTCCAAAACAAATTCGACTATTGCGGTGCCCTCTAAGCAAACAACTCCGGGCAAAAGGAACGTCCAATGCATCTACCCATCTAGAGCCGTCATAATAAACATACATCATACATTTGAGAATCAGCTGCATATAAATTAGATAATTTGTGTAACTCTCACAAACTATTTCCAAGACTCTCATGTACTACTCGAAGTCACTTTATTTCATTTACAAAAAATGAGCAGGTTATCCCTACCCATTGTTTCCCCTAACACAAACATCTCGCCCAAAATAATGAACGATCATGTATATACCATGAAGTCAAAGCAATCCATTCATTCATAAAGGCCATACGCTATATCTGCAATACTAATGCAACCTCGCTGTCCGTGAACTCCATAGCTGTATACCAAGCTAACCATGTAGCTGAAAATCCCTCAGTTCCCTTCATCAATACGGTCCATTGTTAAGGGTAACTGTAAATTAAAAGACTATTCTTCTTCTCCATCATCATCCCACCCATCCTTTTCTCTCCGAATGAATTCGCTCATAATTTCAGGCTTGAAGATTGAGCTACCCTCATCCTTTGCACGAGGCACTTTGCCCAAGTTCCGTTCATCATCAAAAACTGCCCCAATGTTTTTGATCCATTTTTGACGTTTTTCCATCAATGATTTGGTCATATCACCAAGACCCGGTCTTGCTGTACCAGCAGCGCCATTGACAGCTTGATTACCACCGCCAGCACCGCCAGCTTTCTTATTCTTTTTGGTCTTCCCGATTGTGCGGGATCGTTTGGTATAGGCTGCGTTTACTTGACCGTCAAGATCTTCAAGGATAGTTTGGTATTCTTGATGAGCCATGCGCTCCTTCGTGATTTCCTGTAGTCGAGCCTTACGTGCGCCGTTAATAATCGATTGTTCTTTGAGTTTGGCTTGAAGGAAACGAAGTCGTGCGGCTATTTCGTCATCGTAATGAGCGTCGTAATCGGGCTCGGCATCAGGGGGTAGGAATCCAATATGTCGAAGCTCTTGTTTAATCCTTTCATCTATTTGCGCATGATCAAGCTTTGGGTGGGTTGCTTTCTTCCACGATTCTGATGCTGATTCGGCCATAAAAGTTGCAGGGGGTAATGGAGATGTGTCGCTATGCTGGCTTGGTTCCCCCATTTCACCATTCATTTCACCATTGAAACTCCCTTCGCCATTGCTCACACCGTTCGTCATAGGTTTGTCTTCGGAAGGAGCCGCTCTATTTTCCGGTCTCAAAGTTGCCAATAATCTCGATAACATTGGGCCAGCAGAAATTTGATCCGTCTCCGCTATTGCATCATCAATTTCATCAATACTTCCACGGGCTTGATTTGGAGGTAATTTATCTCGCCCTTGATTTGGTGTGTCAATTGACATGGCGCCATCTTCCTCAGCCCAGACTTCGGTATAGTGCTTCTTTCCACGTCTAGGAATCATGAACGGATTCACACGATCACCACGCTCACGTAGAAAGGCGAGATCTTCTTCTGTGAATGGTCGAAAGTATGGCTCCAGATATGTCGCAAAAGTATTAGCTTGTACTTGGTTTGTGGGTTTCGAGTTGCTGAAATCTTTGTCGGGTGGTGTTCCAGGGATGAGATCATGAAGATCATTCCTCGGATAGGCTGCTACAGAATAAACCTTCTTCTTTTCTTCTTCACTCATCCTGGGGTCTCCAGGTTTTATTTTTGTAATTTCGTAGACCGTTGGATCGGGAAAGGTAGATGGATCTGCTCCAAATGTCTGGTAATTGGCGATTTTGGGTGCTGGAGGAGGTTGATGTTCATCGGAGCTGGACTCGTCTTCGGCAGTGCCATTTGGTTTCGTATCCGTGTTCATACCTGCGGTTGGTGTTGCAGGAGCAGGTGGTGAAAGCGACGAGCTTATTGAATCATTGTCTCGTTCTTTTGATACTTTTCTGTGATGTTTATGTGTATAGTCACGGCTTGGAACGGCGACTTCTGCAAGTGAATTGAATTAGCGAGATACGGTTTGAAGTAAAGCTCAAAATCAATACTGTACTGATGTGTATACCGTATCGAAAGGTGACTTACCAATATTGGACCCATCTTGTGGTGCCAAACCATGGGCACCATGTGTCAATGGCCGCTCTTCTCTAGCACTACTGACATCCTTTCTCTTTTTGATTTTGTGAGCCTTATGTCTCCCACGCTCATCTTCATCCGCCTGGTCTCTCCTCATTCTTTCTTTCAATTCTTCATCTCGCTTTTCGATTTCCAGTTCCTCGTTCCTATCCTTTCTTGATTGTGCCAGAACTCGCATCCCCTTGTCGCATACCGCAGCACGTTCATCTATGCTTGCAGCTAGTCTTTCCATACGTTGCATAAGCGCCTCGAGCTCTCTTGAGTTGGGAATTGCTGAAGCATGTTGGTCGACAATTTCATCTGCTACGGAAGTCCTAAGAATACTAATTGGAATTTGTGTGTAGGGGGTTTTTCCGGCATCAGAAGGCGCGACTGAGGTCGCGGTACCTACTAGACTTGGTGTTGTGTTTCGACTTCGAGATTGGCGGGGATCCCGACCCTTTTTTCCCGTTCCTTTTTGACTTGCCATGGGAGGCATTTTAATGATAGGCGCAAGTGTATGGGATGTACGTAGAAATGGACTTTGAGACTCTAGGATCTAATCTTATTGTCTGTCTATTGTCTTAGTTTGTTAAATTTTGGTAGGGCCTTGACGTCAGTTTGATTTGTAACAAGTAACCCATAAAGGAAGAATCAACAAGTATTGAATATCAAAATTATGGACAAATATCAAATGCTATGAATGTTGTTTACTTTCTTGTCAGATGTGAAGTTAGGTACCTAGGTAGGTCGTGATGCTTGCTTAGTTGAACTACAGTGGAGCTAGCCTGTTGGAGATAAGGCTAGGAAGAAAGTTATTCCGATACTCTATCAGCACGTGATATACAGGGGTCTCGCTTCGAGATTTGTAATTGGTTGAACTACATTTTGCTCCAAGATCCTCCCAAGCTCATTAGCGTTTTGCATTTGGCTGGCTGAAAGATCGTCAGAATGGCGCCATTACGTATTGCTGATCCGATTAATACATACTCGTATTTGAGACGCCAGTGGTGTTGAAAAAAGTATGTTGAAAATAATGTCTACCAATACGAGAGATTCAAAGTCGTACAATAGGTACGTTACAATGACGAGGGAGATGCACTGAGTACAACGAGATGTTGTATTACTGTATTTCTTTCTCATTCTCTAGAGTAGAGTCTAGATGTTGCATCAATACATAACGGACTACAAGAATATGGTGTACTGTACTGGAATTTATGTTTTTGTTTTCTGGATTTTAGATGTTATATGAGTACAGAGTGGTACTGTACTGGAATTTAATTATTTTTTAGATTCTAGATGCTGTATGAGCACAGACTAGTTTACAGTGAAATGTGATTGAAATGTACTGTACTTCCTTTTTATTCTCTAGAGCGATATGAGATGAGTACAGAACGGAATGCAACAAGTTGTGATAATGTCATCTCCCCTCTCTACCGGTAGTTTAGATGCGATACATGCATAGCACCCATCATACATAGTGTCCCGATATATCTATCCTATGTGAATATTTCATACTGGTACACAAATATGTAATACATATCATTCATGTCAAATTCCCTCTCAAAATCTTACTCAACATCTCACACCCTCTCCTCTCCCTTTCTTATTAATAATTAGCAATACAGTCATCGGGGGAAGTTCCTTCCAACGAGTATGAAACCCAAGATCAAAAAACATTCCGAGATGAAAATTGTGGGTGTCAAACGTGGAGCGAAAAGATGATCAAGCTTTTTCGCTAGCCGCCCATGCATATCCTCCCTAGTCTCCTTGACTCTCCGAATCTCCCTACTTTTGGTATATCCTGTTATATGAACAATATGGACACGAAAATATATCCTTCAAGATCCTTTAACAATTGTTTAAAAACATTCAAAAATTCATGAATCACGTTCTGCAATTCACCTTATGGTAATTATAACCAGCATACAGTTTGCCGAAGGGTCTTTGCCCGGCGCAACAGATCCTGCGCGCTATTTATTACTTGAATATGGGTTAGTTTCAAATCCCCAGAGAGTGCTTGGCGCCGAGATGTCAAGAATCTTGGCTATCCATTCTCAAATCTTCCTCTATATATTCACTAACCCAAATGAAAGCTTTGAAAGAAGTCGATAATTCCGTGTATGTGCAAACAGATCTTCAATATTCACTCCTCTTGTCTGATTCTGGACACTTAACTGAATACGATGTCGTGTTTCTTTGTCAAGAAAACCCAAATTCTGTTATCATCATCACCATCAACCTCTCTCTACCTCGCTCTTCATCTCCATGTCGATCAATCAACACGCATTTTCACATCACAAAATCTTAGACATCTACTAATAATTGTATTACAGTCTACTTTTTCCGGATGAAGAATGGAATAACCTGGCCACAAATGATCAGCTCACGAGCGTCATTAATCAGTTGAATGTATGTTATGGGACGATTAGAGAAAGTGTTGATCTAATGTGTCAATAGCCAAACATATCTTATGCAGAGACCATTACCGATAACCTACAGACATTATCAACTCACAATGCAGATGCGAGCGGTGCAATAGGCGGCTTTCTTTACGTGCCAGATCTGGATGATCAACACACATGCTACAACATTTCCAAACAATATGTTCCTTCAAATGCTACTCGACAAGCCAATCTCCCAGCAACGGATTTCACATTGATTGCGCTAGCACCTTGGATCAGCACAGAATGTACAAAGGGCTATTTAGCTGCAGCGCGACAAGACCCAATACGAGCTTTCATCTTCTATCCACCAGATAATAGTACAAGTCGACCACCACCAATCAGCTCGGATCAGTGGGCACTTGAAGACGGCGGAACATGGAAGTCCACCAACAAATATCCAGTATACGCTGTTCCTGGAAGTGTTGGACAGAGGATGATGCGCGAAATAAGTCTATATTCCGGCAATCTTACAGACGTACCAAACGGTCATGAACTATCCACATTCCCAGGCATTGACCCTCGAGATTATGTACGAGTGTATACGCAGCTTCGCGTGACTCATGGCACAAATCTCCCCAACTTGTGGGAATTTTTGTTGATTATTGTTGCTGTACTGGCCTTTATGCTCGCAATCACTTCCGGCTCTATGCATTATCTCCAGAGAAGTCGAAGGCGGGCTTTAACAAGACGAGTGGAAATCGGGGAGGTAAACTTGGAGGCACTGGGTATCAAGCGACTCACCGTTCCACAAGAGATCATCGATCAGATGCCTATATTTACATATCGTTTTGTTGGACAGACCCCTTTGGTGCATCAACGTTCAAGTACAGCCGAGGGGATCCATGCCGATAAAAGCGTCTCCGCAGAGACAAATGAGATCTCATTTTGCGATGACTCGGCATCCAAGGCGTTATCACCAACTTTTTTCATACCCAATTTGGGAATTTCTCCACTTTCCATCTCAGATCTGGAGGAACGAGCTGTGGTATTCTCCCAACCTACATGTCCCGTTTGTTTAGACGACTTCGAAAGTGGAACTACATTGATTCGGGAGTTGCCGTGTGGTCATATATTTCATCCGGAATGTATCGATCCTTTTCTTGGCAATAATAGTTCATTATGTCCTATGTGCAAAAAGAGTGTCTTGCCTGTCGGACAATGCCCAATAGAGATCACCAACGCAATGGTCAACAGAGAAAGGAATATGCGAAGATTGAGGTCTCGTATCACTATAGCAGAGGATAACCATGATATTCAGGCTGGTCATCCAAGGTTTCTTCCCCGAATCTTAGGCGCTAGTTTCAATAGGCGAATATTTAATACTTCGACGGTCCAAACAAATAACGTACAAATGACAGTTGCATCACCGATCGCAACGGGACCGCCATTGATGGCAAGTGCGACACACCCTCAATCACAGGTCAATAGCGTACTAGGGGTTGAGGTGTTACAAAACGGCCTTTCCCGGCGAGAGAGAGCCCAACAACGAATTCAAGAACTTGCAGCACAAGAGCCTTCGATAGAAGGCCCGGACTTGGTTCAAACGAGGCATCGATCACTCTGTAAGCGCTTCCCAACTTCATACTCTTTCCAAACTAACGACCCATGACAGTCCGTCGCGCATTATCAAAAACTTTCCCCGGCTATTCTTAGGGGTCCAACTGTAAATATTAATGACTTGATGAGCATTTCAGCGTGGCAAGGTTGTTCTTGTCAATCTCTGGAGTTTTATACCATGTATACGCTGTGCGTTTGAAGGGCAAAAGGGATCAAGGGCTGGTTAGGAATTGGTGTTTTGGGAGAAATATTGGCAATGGACCAATCATTCGGAACTCGTTTGAAATATTGGCGTATTATACGGAAAGCTGTTGAACCAGTCACAGCAGGCAGAGTCTTCAGAAGAAGCATTTATTTTTCTTTTGAGATGTACAATGGATTGGTCGGAAAAGAAACGTTGTAAGGGATACTACTAAGTAGGTACGACAATTCAAACTTCGTGGTGCAATGCATGTACTTTGTACAACCGACAGCGCAATTCTGTGGTACCTATTCGTCGATGATGTGAATGAATCGCCCTCCACCTCTACCTCTATCCTTAACCTTGAAAATAATTCTTTGAGATCTCGACTTTGCCAAAATTCACTTGACACATCCATCCTTGTCATAATCTTCCCTTATCAGTTAGATAGAACGGAGGGGTGTGCCTTATCTCTAAATCCTTAGCAAAACTTAGCATTTGAGAAGCTCTAAATCATATCTAATTTTCTACAAAACATCATCTAATGCAATTAATCATATTCAATTGAAGAGGAGATACATAGCAGTCTCAAAGATGCATCTCATACCTAAAGAAGTAAGTCCAGACCCTTATCGCAGCAGCGTTCAAGCAAAGGAATTAATTTTTGGGATCGTCAAAATAGATAGATAAGCTTGCTATCTCTCAGCTTGGCCTGCTGGCACAACGAAGACTTGCGCGAGGAGTAAAGCTCAATCATTCCGAAGCAGTTGTGAGTTCAGTCAAGCATTCGAAAACATGTTATGAGATTGTTGCTAATTGACACAAGGCGCTTATAGCGAATAATCTTCAAGAGGTCTGGCGACCGTGTTTCCCCCAATAGCAGGAAAAGAATACGAACTGACGACCTGAAAGCTCATTCGCGATGGAAACCATACAGTGGCAGATCTCATGTCAATTGGCGCAACAATGCTCGGGCGTCGTCATGTCCAACCTGCGGTTTGCTCGACTCTTACGGAAATTATGGTCGAAGGCACTTTTCCAACTGGAACATACTTGGTGACGGTACATCATCCAATTAGTACAGATGATGGAGATTTGGCGAAGGCACTTTATGGAAGCTTTCTTCCAATTCCGGATATAGATCTTTTCCCATTGCCATTGCCTGCAGAATACGAATCGACCAAACGGCCTGGTGCTTTGATTACTGTAAAAGGTAAGGTCAAGCTGAATGAAGGAAGAAAGAGAATAAAATTGCGAGTGACAAGTAAGGGAGATAGACCAATACAAGTGAGTCTAAGATTCTACAGTGATGACCACTTGCTCATATTCGCAGATTGGATCTCATTATCATTTCATTGAGACAAATCCACAACTCGATTTTGATCGCATCAAAGCATATGGTTACAGACTCGATATTCCCGCCGGTACATCTGTTAGATTCGAACCTGGAGACACTAAAACCGTAGGACTAGTAGAAATTGGTGGCAACAGAGTCATCCGTGGTGGAAATCACGTTGCTACTGGCAAGGTAGATATTTCACGAGTGGAAGAAATTCTAGTCAATCTTCAAGAGGCAGGATTCGCGCATACCCCAGATCCAAGTGGAGATGCTGCATTTATTGGTGCATTCGAAATGGATAGAACATCATACGCAACTATGTTCGGACCAACTGTAGGTGATACTATTCGTCTAGGTGATACTGATCTTTGGATCAAGGTTGAAAAGGATTTGACTTTTTATGGCGATGAATGTAAGTTTGGTGGTGGTAAAACTTTACGGGAAGGTATGGGCCAGGCTACAGGTATACCTGATGATATATCATTGGATCTCGTTATTGTTAATGCTTTGATTGTTGATTGGACTGGTATCTATAAAGCCGATATTGGTGTCAAGAACGGTACAATAGTAGGTATTGGTAAAGCTGGTAACCCAGATGTGATGGATGGCGTTAGTCCAAATATGATCGTTGGATCATGTACAGATGTTATTGCTGGGGAAGGCAAAATTATTACTGCCGGTGGCTTCGACACTCATATTCACTTCATCTGCCCTCAACAAGTCAATGAAGCTATCTCGTCCGGTATTACCACTATGCTAGGAGGCGGGACTGGCCCAAGGTAAGCAAAACAAAAACTTTTGCTATAGGCTATCTAATATGTAAATAGCGCTGGAACTAGTGCTACAACCTGCACACCTGGAAAAAATTACATGCGACAAATGCTTCAAGCTTGTGATACCATGCCAATGAATGTTGGAATAACAGGCAAAGGAAATGACAGTGATCCCGCTGCACTCCGTGAGCAAGTTATTGCTGGAGCTTGTGGACTCAAATTACATGAAGATTGGGGCACTACACCTTCGGCGATTGATTCTTGTCTGACGGTTTGCGATGAACTCGATATTCAATGTTTGATCCATACCGATACTCTAAACGAGTCAGGTTTTGTTGAATCTACGATTGCTGCATTCAAAAATCGTGCTATTCACACTTATCATACCGAAGGAGCTGGCGGTGGCCATGCACCTGATATCATCAGTGTTGTCGAGCATGCGAATGTCCTCCCTTCCTCTACCAATCCTACAAGACCTTATACTAGAAATACACTTGATGAGCACTTAGACATGCTTATGGTTTGTCATCATCTTTCCAAGAATATTCCCGAAGACGTCGCTTTTGCAGAATCACGAATTCGTGCCGAAACGATTGCAGCTGAAGATATTCTTCATGATTTGGGAGCAATCAGCATGATGTCTTCTGATTCCCAAGCAATGGGCCGTTGTGGAGAAGTTATCATGAGAACATGGAATACAGCCCACAAAAACAAAGTCCAACGCGGTGCACTCGGAGAAGATCTGGGCACTGGAGCAGACAATTTCAGAGTCAAGAGATATATTAGCAAGTACACGATTAATCCGGCGCTTGCTCAAGGCATGGGACATATCATTGGCAGTATTGAAGTGGGAAAGCTTGCAGATCTGGTCGTTTGGGATCCAGCTTGGTTTGGAACTAAACCTACTACAATTATCAAGAGTGGTATTATCGCTTACGCTCAAATGGTAGATCATCCTCCACCCATGTCCTCTCGAATTCTTTGCTAATCAGATCTTAGGGTGATCCTAACGCTTCCATCCCAACTGTCCAACCCATCATCTGTCGCCCCATGTTTGCACCCCTAGTCCCTTCTACATCTATTCTCTTCGTCTCCGAATCATCAATTTCTTCGGGTACGATCGCAACATATGGTTTGAAAAGTCGCGTAGAGGCGGTGAAGAATTGTAGAATAGTTGGAAAGAAGGATATGAAGTTCAATGATCAGATGCCAAAGATGAAGGTCGATCCGGAAAATTACAGAGTTGAGGCAGATGGTGTACATATTGTTTGTGAGGCGGCGGATCGGTTGCCGTTGGGTCAAAATGCTTATGTTTATTAGAGGGGTTATCTTATGGCAATGAAGGGACAGGACTAAGCTCGTTTATGTGAAGTAAGTGTCTCATGTTTAGGGGGTTGATTGAAAGGATAGTATTTAGCTCTAATGATAGTTACAATTTTTGTTTTCCACTAACATCATTGCGATTGCCATTGTCTTTTCTTCGTAGATACGATATCTATCCCTGGAATCCACTTGGGTGAAGGAGTTTCTATAGTCTATTCGAGAGTTCATCTCATGATCAAGCGAAAGAGTAGATTTAGTAGTCATTCTCGCCAACTCTAGGAAGCTCTTATATTCTCTGCTGGGGTCCCCAAGTGATCCACTGATCTCTATTAATGGAGAATTTTTAGTGTACCGATTAGTTACCGGCATATAGGATATTTGTCTAGTTATTGTAGTTCTTGGTAAAGTCATGGAGACAGATAATCTTGGATTTCGATGCGTTGAGATTTTGTGGGGAAATTCTATTGGCATCGCTTGAAGTGAACACATTGCGGCGAAAAGTAAACCAGCGATTGGTGTTTTAACTGGGTGATGATCTTGTGTAATCTGTTTCTGGAGAGTTTTCAAGTCGATGTTGGATAGATGGAATTTTGTGGTTTGTAGTTGAGCTATGAGTTAGTTGTACGATATGGTGACCAGAGAAGTATCATGGGGTAAATTTAACGGGAATTTAAGAGGGGAGGGGGAATGGCTGTATACTGTGTGGATCTACTCGTGATACGAGAGGATGCATCGGATCGTTTTTCTTATATATGAGATACTGGGGGAAGTAAAGTGTTACTCGAGACATACGTGTTTGGTAGGTAGGAAGTAACGAAGACGTGTAATGATATTTGTGAAGATTAGACTCGAGTAAAGATTACATACTCTTTGAAGTTAAGTTATGTAGATAGATGTTAGATCGATACGATACTTCAAAGTTTGCTCGTTGAAAATTGAAACGAGATGATGATGATTTTTCCAGATTTCATCTACCGTATATCTTCTTGCTAAATCTCTATGATAGGTAGAGGTAGCAAAACACACCTCTCTCAATACTAAACACAGTCGCAAGCACGTGCTTCATCTCAACCAAGCTCGAGAGTCGAAACCCCCAAATCAATCCGGTCTAATTACTCAGAAAATAATTCACAGCAACCGGTTCCCCCAGCCCAGCCATCTTCTGCCACCCATCCAAATCAAAGCGCATTCGATACCAATTACTCAGCGGTTTCCCTCCGCTGGGTGCGTATTTCCCACCGTTGAAATCTTCCGGCTGTTCGAATAAGTAGAAGGAGTATCGATGCGGTGCACTTCCTGGAGGAGGAGCTGGACCAATATAGTTGGCGATGAAGGGCTCGGTGGTGGTGAGGAGACCGGTGGGGTTGGTGGTGTAGCCGGGTTGGATCCAGTGGAGGATGGGACCGAGAAGGGGGAGGGAGGGGGAGGGCGCGTCCAGGTCGAGCATGATGAGGAGATATGTGGTGGAGGGGGTGGGGGTTGGGAGGGAAAGTGAGGGGGTGGTTTGAGCTTCTGTGGAGTGGGTTAGGAGTTTGGGACTTCGGTTTGGGGCACGGGGAGAGTGAGGATGTTACCTGATCGGGGAATGTATTGCTTGGGTGTGATGGTGTTGCCGTTGTAGGTGACATTTAGTATTTTAGAGGGATCTTTTTCCATGGCGCTGAGAGCGCGCTTGACGCATGTGTTGGCGGGCATGGCTGGAGATGTAGATCAGAGGAAGAGTGAGAAGCTGGAAGTTGAACTTCGATCTGCTGGGGCAAAAATTTGGCAAAGTAGAGGTGGAAGGACACGATGAATTGTATCAGATGAGGGGACAGAAACAAGTCAGTACGAGTGGAAAGCCAAAGACGAACGGTATCCTCAATTGAAACAGCAATAAACCACGAGGGTAGAGAGTAGACGTTCAAGAAGCATATGGATACATACATGCACACACACACACACACACACATATATATATATATATATGCACAGACGAGTTTTATCCCCAAAAGTGTGACATCCCCCTTGCTGATCCAGACTCGATTGTATTCGAGTTAATCCCATTGAGGGAATCCGGTTCGTTATTCCCATAACTAGCTATGTATGAGCTGCTATTCCCGAGTTTTGACAGCCTGACCTTGTTGTTTCTAGTGATTACTGGTGGATCTTCAGGACAGGTACGAACGAGTATGTGAATATACAGACGGATATAAGCGGGGTGTAGTTACTAAAACCGATGATCTACCTCTTGCATCTAATCTAATCTAATCTGTTCGCTACATAAACAATTTGGGTATGCGCAAGGCTTATACTGTAGTAGATGTGTATATGGTGACCTAGGTAGTGCTATACTCTCATCGATTAAACTATGTTCTTAGAAGTACGGCCAATACTTTTTGATTTCCAACTTTCAAGTGGAAGGAATGTCAACGACCACGATTTGGAACAGCACGATTACTATCTTAAAGTTCATAGATCATGATTAATCAGACGGCTCTATTCTTGATCACCCAAGTCGTTCGACGTCAGCCCAACTTTTCTGGAGATGCAATGACCTCAGTGAACATCAATACCCAGGATAGCTCTCTGAAGACGTTGAACACAAAACGGATCTACAATCCCACATCCAGAACCCCGCGATAGCGTTCCGGGAATCGAAGGACAACCAACTTTAAAAAGTCCGATTTGAGAGAGGCAGTCGGCGGGCGATTGACAGGGGTCGGACTTTTTGAAACTCCTTCTCCGAGGGCTAATCTATGTGGATTGGATTGGATCCCGTCATCACTCGCGAACTGTTGTATACAAGGTTGGTAATTCTTCAATTGGCTCCCAGATAGGAAATGCCTGTTTCTAGCGTTATGCGGGGAGGGTTGATTTTCAATAGGATTACGGTAAACCTTGGATACCTATGCATATTGCTATCTAGAAGACTCGGCAAGAAAGCTTGTTTGGACAGCAATTAATTGTAATACTTTGCTTGTGACTACCCTGTGAAGCGAGGGTGGCATAAATAGTCTACGGTGTATCTCCTGCATTCGCATGATTTCCGAAAAGAGATGCATAGTATTTATGGTGTCGGTGAGCCAAGCTGAGACAAAAGCTGCTGCGGTCCCTTGGTGAGTTCGAATCAGTCACCGTTCAATAGGCTAGGAGGCTATAGCTGACGGTCCACCCCCACCCTGTCATTCGATTATATATCATCTACAGTAATATTCGCTTATGAATACAAAAACACAAGCGATCTAGCCTCCTTCCCATGGTAAAATTGCCTCTTTAGACTCGCTACATGTTCAAGGAAAATAGATCTACTCACTAAAGCTTGCACGCAATCATGTGTCGTTGAGACTAGATATTGTGCAGACATCTGCAAAGGAAGCTGTACACGCATTACCTGAACAGCTCTAAAAATTGTCTAATCATATTCACTTCCGGTAGTGCGAATCTCGTATTGCCGTCCCAGTGTAGCCGACGGGGATAGAATCTTGGAATCTCGCGACGTCCCTGGAGTCTGAAAATCTTCATCTGATCGCTTGAACGTCGATACACACAAACTGGTCGAATCATCCCACACATATCCAACCAAGCACAAGCACCTTGTGCGCCAGCTTCATCGAGTGCTACAAAACGGTGAACTCATTCATTACTGCCAACGACCAAGACTAATTTATCCACATGTCGAGACCTGTAGTTCTTACACCCGCTTGGATTATTCATAAAAAGATTCCTCCATAATTTCTCTTCATGGCAGTGTGTATAAAGTACTAGTGACTAACGCTGTCTGAAAAGACGTAGCCGAGCGTTTGACCGGCAAGAAGGACAGCTTCCAAACCATCTTTAATCAATAATAAAGAATATGAAGACTCTTGACAACCCCACAGAAGCTGGCTTCTTGTGCGCTCCGATACCATTGCATTGGGCGAGTGCCTTGAAAATCCCATAGCAAATCCAGATAAATCAAGCAAATGTCCCGAATTAGAAATCAGAGCTGATACAGAGTATGACCAAATCCACTATCGCCATCTACAAAAGTGTGAAATTCCATTAAATATATGTTCACAGACTTATCTGCATCACTTGTCGCAGCTGCAAAACGCACATCAAGAAGTCCTGAGATGGAATTTACTACAGAGATATTGAGAGCGAAGCGAAGCAAAGAAATCTTGGGCTTCTTCATTTTAGGTCATCACATCAATGAATTGTATTCACATGATAAGAAGATTGACATATTGTTAATAATCATCTGTAAGTTTCTCCGAGATGATGGTGGTGTAACATTAGTCGTGAGCATGCGCATACAAGATATGTTAACTGCATATCATAATGACCGTTGGATTGATCGAGAGAGAGTAGCTATAGCTACCTAGGTATTCGAAGATAGACGTGAGCTGCTGCGACACATGTAAGATACATGAGTCGTTTTGGAACAACACATGCTCCGAGCGGGTTTCGCAGCAGTAGGTTGAACAGATGGTGAAGAACCCAAACACATCCATCCGTGTTATTGCAGAATTTCCTTTTTCCTATGAGTTCAAGTAACCTTAACCTTCATTTGATAGATTTGGTTCGATACAATAGTAATTCTTATAAATAGCAATGAAACCAATCTTGGAGACTAATAAGGAAAATCTAAGAACAAAATCAATATTCATCTGAGCGAATTTTCACGCGAGTTTTGTTGGTGTAATTCATTTAAACCTCATTCTTCCTTCCATGCACACACACACACACACTTTTTCACCCACACGATATATATCGGTCACGACCGGGAATAAAGCCTATAGAAGTGTTCTTATTCCCAGTCGACATATTTCTACAACGTTTCTTCCCGATTTGGAAGGATGGAGGCTTGGTGTTTTTGTAATTTTTTCAGATGTGCAACAAAACTTTGATGTTTGGCATTCACCGCTTTTGGATAGGATAATTATTACTGGGTGAGTTTTCTGCAGAAATACATCTATGTAGGTAGGTAATCGATGGCGGGTATGGGAAATGAGATATGGATGGATGAAGCATCCATGGATGTATGCGTAATAGATGAGCGGCAGGGCATTGGAAGACTTCATTGTATAAAATGCATAATCTCGAATACACACAACTATTTCAAGTTTCATCATTTACGTAGAAAAGTAATAATTCACAACTGGTGTCATCATATGGATATTGATGATTCTCCTAGTAACCAAGTATCTTCACATTAGTATTCCCAATCAACCCAATGCGATCTCCTTCCATTTCAATCCTGGCGCAAAGGACGATGAATGAAATGCTTCTTTAAAGATTTTTGCAAGACCTACTCGCTTCGCGACAGTTCTTTCGTCGTTCCATTGTGTCATCAAAGCGTAGTATAGATACCATTCTGCTTGTTCTCGTTCTTGCGGGATATAATATGTCCAACTGTCGAATTCTTCAAGTTGCAAGTCTTTGACTTCAGATATTGCGATGAATCTTGCGGGGTGGAAGATTAGTAAAGAGGAGATGAAATCTTTCAAGAGAACTGACAGAAAGAATGCGTATCTTGATTGTGGTACATGTATGGTTCAATTACTAAGCGGTCTGCCTGGCTTTGGAATTTGACAAATTTGACGAACTTACTCGTGTGCTTTGCGACAGCCTTCGGCCCAGGTATTATCTAGAATTATCGTCCCACACCAGTCACCTTTTGAATCTTCGATGTCGTATCTGTGGAGTCCCGAGCCGAGTACCGATTTGAAATTTGCGTCCGACATGTTTCTCTCCACAAGATTGAAGAATGCAGAGTAGGTCCAAAATTGAAGGCAATGGATTGCAGCGGATATTTTTGGCACTGTCTCAAGCCGAGGTGATTGTCCCGCAGCTTCGAGTTTTCTGAGCCGTCCATAAGAGTCGAAGCAGCCATCAGTATCAGGAGTGGTGTAACCATTCCAGCGAGTCGGCATTGTTGTGGATACCTCTGAAGCTTGCCAAACCAGAGTATGTGTGCCATTCTTACTACCTTTATACCAAATGATCCAAGTATGAGCTACTAACCATTCATGCATATTATTGAGAATCCCAGAAGTTGTTGAAAGCCTCCACTCAACACCCCCTACCCATCCACACCAGGACCAGCTGGGATATTTGATAGTCGATGGTCTTTCAATGCGCTCCATTGCCATAATCGGTTCCCACAACAGAGACCAGTCAAAATATGCGGTTGGAAGACAGTAAAGCAACGGCCCCTGGAGTTTTGAGGCCAAAATATCACCTAGACCAGTAAAGGCAATCATTTTGTCCGTAACAAAGGTAAGCCTACGACCACTATATATTTGAACACAATCGCTATACCGTCGCAATGGCTGGTCGTTCCATAACTTCAACGGAGACCCGACAATATCAAGTGTCCAGGAAGGACAGTGCCCTTCGGAATCCAGTTCTTCGGACCAAGTAGCTCGTCGACATTGAAAGAAAACGCGGTTACCAACAAAAATCAAACATCGTCTCGAAAGAAGCCTTTCTTGAAATGTCCACGCTCTACTGTTCCATGGAGATGCTCTGATGTAATTCTCAGGAGATCGGACAACCATCAATTCTAATCCTGCAACGCGCTCAACGTATTGGATTAATCGACGAGATCCCAAATGTGCTCTAGGAAGACCCTCGGAAACACCACCGCCACTGCCAGCGCAGATGGTAAGCGTGGAATAGCCATATATTCGGTCCATAACCGGAGCTATTCGCGTCCAATCTCCTATTTCGTCTTGCACGATACAAATGCTATCTACCCACAAATATCCCATGTTAAGAGATCTCACTAACAATATGGCATCTTGTATTGTTTGGCCAAGTTCATCAAAAACAACGTTAAGGAATCCTGGCCTCCGCAACTTAGCGTAGAGACGTCGTGTGTTTTTAAAGAATTTCGTTTTGCCCCAGCAATAACTGAGGGTGACATATTTCGTTGTACTTTCCGCAGTGACAAGACACATTTGATTAACATCGATTAACCTCATACTCTCCCCAAGACTTTGAGCTGGACTTTTATCGTGTAGTGGCCGGCAAACTTCCTTGTGGGACTGCTCGCAGATTCCAATCCATTCGCTCATCTTCGCTAAACTCGCCTGTCTTGGGTCGACAATCCTGCCAAGAAAACTGGGCGACCTGCTCTCAGTGTTGTATGTTGACAACAAAACAAGATAAGCGTCGGAAAATGACCCATCTTTGCTATATAAGCGAATTCGACGAGTAAAGCACTCTGTGATTGGGGTGTTGATTGCATTGCTAGGCTGTATCGTGTCTGACCCTGTTCTTCCATCAATTAGCCACTCCATCCAGCATGTGGTTTGGCGATCTTCATTATTGACACAGGTCCTTCGAGGCTGATTGTAAGCTTTAACGTCTAGTTTGGTGGCTTTGTAAACTAGTCTGCAGAAAGCGCAAGACGACTTGCGTTTGTAGATATCATTAAGGTAACCGAGATTCACTGGGCTTAGCGTCGTATGAACTGGATCCACTTCTTTTGGAGTATCTTTTGTATCCTCACCAAGAACGAAGCTCTCACGGTGTAAACTCAGGCGAGAGCACGATGAGCAACACGAGTCTATCAAAGAGCTGTGATCAACGAGCTGCTTTATTCTCGCTTTAAAAACGTGATCAATGGCACCGCGTGAGTTGGTCTTGAGTTTCTGGGACCATGACCGTAGTTTCAATCGCTCTCCTAGGGCATGACCCCAAGAAGAGGCCGTGGATGTAATTGGCACGGTGTCGTCAGCAAGGGTGGCAACTGGTTCATAGGCTTCATCCATGTTTCCAAAACCAGCGTTGTAAGTGGGTTGGAAATTGAGCTACTGACATCGCATGAGAGGAAATTTGGCATTTGACATGCGTTTGTCCTTATCAGCACGAAACATCTGTACAGAAACTGTTGGTAGGACTAGGTGCCACAGCCCAAGTAATTTGCGGATAAGTGCATGACAAGAAAGAGAGAACATATTCCTTCAGCTGCTGCAAGATCAGGCTGTCAACATCCTATTGCACACCTTAAAAACATAAATATGAAGGTGTTCAACTAAGATGTAGACTAGACTCATCTTACTTTTCCGGCAGAAACCTTGATGAAACAAACAGTATCGCTCATGTTTCAAGTCGTCAAATTTGCTGATGATCGAGGAGAAAGATTGTGATAGCCTCACTGAACTGATTTTTCTGTCTGCTTTGAAGGATTCGAACTCCAAACTTAGAGTTCCACATGGTCACAACATATACCCCGACATCTCAGTAGATACTCCTGCAGATTTAATACGAGTCTTTCCACCAATACATCTTCATGGAACTTACCACACTTTCATACCCGGCAAATTGCTGTGTCGGCCAAGAGTCCTATTAAAACAAGACCATTAGGCTTATCAAATACCCAATCAGGAGGTTGAGGTTCCGAGCCCGGGTGAGGTTAGTCTGCATTCCAACTGTCGTTTGTCGATGTCACTCAAGAATCCCGAAATGGATTCTGGAGGGATTCCTTGCAAATAGAATATGGAGGCTGGCTTCGATTCATTAGTATGGTGTTACTGCCCAGTGCAACAATGTGAATTGGTTGTATTCACGCGCCGTTGATGCCGGAGCATCATGAAAATGCTCATCCGATTCACCTATTGGGATGTTCCCAGACTGGAAATTCCACCGAACCTACCAAAAGACTCCTGCTGCTCCGATAAAGAAGTTGCTGGACGGAAAAATGATGATCGAACGGAGATGAAGACCGTAAGAAAGAAGGATCTTGAAGTTGATTTTTTGACAGGATGAGCAATGAGTCTGAGTCTGGAGCGGCATAGCATCAATCGAAGCTATAGATTAACGTGCATAGAGTTTAGCACGCATAATGTTAATAAGCCAAAACTTTAAGCATAGTTTTCCTAGCCCCAGTGCAGATTGGCGTTCAGGTTGCAGCTCTGCGCGATATAATAGAAAGAATTTTGACTTTTCACTCATGTAATTATCCATCCAGCTGTCAGGACTCAGGATTGAATATCAAGCATGGTAAGCACGAGGGACCAAGGTAGGGAGGTAGGTTGATGGGTATGTATGTTATTCTGTGGAAAGAAAGCCAGGGGCTAAAATCAGTCGAGAATGATCAAGGTTAATCCGCGGAGGATCCTGTAGGTGCCTAAGTAGGTGTGGGCAGGTGGTGATAGGAGGGTAGGAGGGTAGGTACTCGTAATATATCGGCATCGTATATATAAAAAGAGCCGATCGCTGCATACCCTGGTTAACCCCTTGAAGGGATCATTTATCTCCGTTGCAGCGGTACTCGGATATAAGGTGAAGCACTGGCAAAACGGGGAATGGGAACAGCGGAGATACAAGACGAGAAATTCTCACCATTTATACATTTATACCGGTATGCTGCTCCTGAATGCTTCCCGGGTAAGTGGGTGTGGTGGTATTAGTGAGTAAGTGAATGAGTGAGTGAGTAAATGAATAAATAAATAAATAAATAAATGAGTGAGTGAATGAGTGAATAAGTGAGTAAGTGAGTAAATAAATAAATAAGTAAATGAGTGAATAAATAAGTGAATGAGTGAGTGAGTGAGTAAGTGAGTGAGTGAGTGAGTAAGTGAATGAGTGAGTGAGTATCTGGCTACTAAACTCTAGAAGTAGATGGCATGGATTCTACAACGCGCACAGTGTAAGTGTAGGGCATGCCATCTATCAATTCGCTGTTGCATCTATATATTGGGGTACTGGTGACATACCATCCAAACCTAATAGTATTGGATGATCACCTTAATAAGCTTGAAGAATCTCTTGTTCTTGGAAACCGTGGACTTTTCTCTACGCCATTCTTGGCCATTGGATGAGCTCAGTCGGTAGTCGGGCTCAAAACCCTCCGGTGAGTAAGGACATCTGTGGCGCACGGAGCTTTCTCATTGGCTCAAATTCGAAAGTGTTGTCAGCCAAAGCCGCGTACGTACGGGAGATGGGATTACTAATACTATCGGTCTCCCTCCCTCATATTATTTCCTCCCTCCCTGGGCAGGCACCTGGTCCGTTCCTAGTACGTTCCTGGTCCTTTTTTCAACAATTTAAGGTTTTTGCTCAAACAGGTGCAACCGTGCAAATGGCTTTCATATGAACAAAAGGACCTTTTTCCCTCCGAAATGAGATCTTGGACAAAGACTCCTCCGTTTGACTCATTCAGCCTTATCCCATTCCAGTCCCGATTCCAATTCCAATTCCATACATAATCATGCTGTCATGCTTATGGTAGAACCACCCATTTGTTGTCTTGAAAGAGTTCTGTGGGTCTTCATTTCATCCATCAATTGATTCAGTCGGTCAATCAATCAATCAATCAATCAAGCAATCGACCATCAGATCAAAAAGATCATTCAATCAATCATTCAGACGAGTCGGTCAGTCAAAGTCGAAGATAGAGGCAACAACTGTGCCACTCTTTAATATCTCAACATCATGAATCCGAACAGTCCCGTGGTTTCTACCGCCAGTAACACAAACGCCCAATCTCCAGCAGCAGCACCACCACCACCACCACCAAAAGTTCTTAGTTGCACAAATTGTAGGAGACGTAAGATAAGATGCAATAAAACAACAAACCCGTGTATCCCATGTCAGGTGAGTGAAATTTGTTTTTCCAACCTGCAATCCGCCATTATTGGGTGTCTATGAATACCTAATGAATAACACATAATCAGGCATCTGGCACTGAATGTATTTTCCCTACACGTGTTCGAAACCCCAGGCCGAGACAAAGTAATCCAAAGTCTCGTGATGCTGAGCTATTAAAAAGAATCTCTCATCTCGAAAGTTTGGTGAGCAGAATTGATGCCACAAAACTCCTTGGGGAAGATAGTCATGTAGAAGACGAGGCTCGGTCAAATACACCATCGTCAGGACCGCGACCTCATCGCTCTTTCACGTCTCCAAGTCAACAGTTTAATGACAATGTCCATGAGATTGGATTTGTACCCGGACGTTTGGATCATCTATTTGCTAATTTTATCAGACGCCAAGAGAACGAGTCAATCTATACTCATGATGGATTTTGGACGAGATTGAGTGAAGAAATCGATGGACTGAAACAGCTCATCGAGAATCCCAGTGACGATGAGGATGAAAATTCTGGATCAACTGCAACTTCGCCAGCATCCAAGTATGATTCCCCTTCACAATTTGTCTTTGATTCCAAGGTCACTTCCTCGAATGTCGTAATTCCATATCCATCCGACGACCACCGCAACATTCTATTCGAGTTCTATTTCAAAAATGTGCATCCAATGGTCGTCACTATGCACAAGTCAACAACACACCTTATGATAAACCCAGGGTCCGAGTTATTCGATCCGAATACTGGCCGACACAAATTCAAAAGTCTTGAGGCTAGCGCATTTTCTATTTACCTGGCTGCTGTGACGAGCATGACAAATGAAGAGTGCCTTAAACTTTTAGATGAAGAAAGGCAAATTTTAGTGACACGATACAAAACTGCGACAGAGATTGCTCTCCAAGAATCAGATTTTCTTAATAGTGTAGAAATTGTTACCTTACAAGCTCTATTGACGTATATTGTAAGTGTTCTTCTCCAAGCATCTTGGACGATGATGATATTTATATACGTTCACAGGCAGCTATGCGCACTCATGATCGAAGTCGATCTATATGGGCTTTTATCGGTCTTGCAGTCCGGCTTGCCCGTGGCATCGGGCTCCACAGAGATGGCGGTAGTCAACCTTTCGATTTGGAAATGCGAAGGAGAGTATGGTGGACGTTGATCGTACTTGACACGAGAGCTTCTGAAGATCGAGGTACAGAAACAATGATCACTGATGGCTCTTTTGATACAAAGATGCCTGCCAACATAAACGACGAGGATATCTCGATTACCTCAACAACTTCACCGGTCGATCGGATAGGATTCACCAGTATGACCTTTTCTTGCATTACAATGATAGTCAGCGGGATCGGATTGAGGATGAATTTCGTGCCTACGCGCCTAGACGCGCCGGTCTTGACCACGGAACAAAAAGAGCAGATGATCAAAGCATTTACTGATAAAGTCGAATCAACCTATCTCGCAGGTGCTGATCCCAATGATCCGAAATTTTTATGGTTTTGTCGGGTATCACGACTATTATCGCTCAAATTATGGTTGGTGACACAATATCCACTTCAGCGAAGGAAATCTACACATCGAGTACTTCCTCGAGGACAATCTTTGCGTACAGCTATGTCGTACCTAAATCTGATGGAAGATTTATGGCGAAATGATCCTGAACAGGGATGGGCCTGGTTCTTTGAAACTTATGTACCGTGGCATGCGATCGCCGTCGCTTTAGCTGAGCTCTGTGCGGAACCAACTGGCACTCTTGCTGACCAAGCTTGGGAGGCCATCGAGTTTCATTACAACAGATGGAGTGAATACGTTGCAGATACAAAAGACGGAATGATTTGGCGACCAGTTAAGAATTTACTGAAAAGAGCAAGAGCAGCAAGAAGGCGAGAAAGAGGCCTCAGTGATTCTCAAGCATCAACAACTCCAACGGCAATTTCCAACCCTAATATGTACAGCCCAGGTCCCAACTTAGGTGCCGAATTCTCTCCAATCGTGTCGGAGAATAACAACTACCGCCAAACTTCTACAATTGGGCAGGTTGACCCAATGGGGCAGAATACTTACAGAGGGATGGGCTTCGATATTCCCATGCCCATGGGTTCTACCCCCATAGACACGAATATGACATCACCAATATCTATTCCGGATGGTTACACAAATGCACACTGGAACGAATTCATATTTGGTTTGGGAACAGTTGGTGGCGACGCACCTCAACATCCAGAGATGTGGGGTTCATATCAAGATTATTTTACTGGCTCTTAACATTTGGAGGAACCTAAAATCTTTTTCAATCGATCCACGCAATGCCCTACCCTCACAATCTTATTTTGGTCATTGGCACTAGAATTGGGAAGCATGTAGGAACACAAAGACGTTGTAATATCAAATTATTCCCCTCAATCACTGTATATTTTACATCAACTAAGGGTCGGTCGATGCAAAATCTTCGGCTAACAAGGACTTCCGAATTCTTGCTCGCATTTTCAAGCACGCACACGCACTTGTGGAAGTTGCAAATGCCGACAATCGTTTTTTCCATGGCCCACAAAACACCTTATCGCAGTTCCGGATACCGGTAGACATGACTACCCGTAACCCGCATTCAAACAACTTCTAACAACAATCCCTGCATCCAAAATTCTAGATGTCACCAAAAGCGGAGTACCGAGCTATCCGAATGAAACAAATGGTGAAGCGAATTATGATTCATGCTCCAACCGTGCCAGGGCACGTACTCCATCATAAATCGAAACAATTTATTGTTAGACGCCTACCGATAAAGAGTCTATTAATTCTCGTATTAATGCTTGAGCTTTGTTCGTTTTGTTCTCGTTATTGTGAGAACCTTCTGGGGACGTTGCAAAACACTAACTGAAAGAAAAGTGTATAGAGTATATCCACGCGGAGGAATTAATTACATACTGTCGGAACTTCAATCAACGCTGACATGTTTAACGGAATTGATGCCTGCGTGAAGCAAATTTCCATCTTGTGTAAGATTGTGAACGGCAATCGATTGCATGCATATTCATGACTGGAGTGTATTGGGACAAGCTCAATGGCTGAAATATCTTATAAGAACAGTAGGAATAGAAGTCTGTTCCCGTCAACTTATAATCTTGTGAAAACACAGCTAGAATCAGCCAGTATTCTATAAGCAGATCTCATCTATATGTTCTGGGTGAGACTGAAAAATACTGCCCCTTACTCAACGTTTAGCAGAAACCAACTCGATACATAGTCAGGCCAATAAGACGCTATAGTTCATTCATATTTTTTAGTCAACCTGCCATACTTTTAGTTACATGTTATTTAGTTCCCCTTACCCCCTTGGTCCTTGAACAATCTTTGTTTCAGCCCCCATCCAAGCTCTAGTCACAGCGGATCTAGTCAAGACAATTTTGTTACAACGATTGCTTTACACACCACCAAAGCCCATTAATCGGTTTCCAATTCGAGTTTAGTAACTGGTGTACAGCTGCCAAAGATCAGAGTGATGCCAACTTTGACGTGCACATACGGAATATTTAGTGACTTCACTTGCCACTAACACACAGGCCTTTTCACCTGGGTATCCCTCTAATACCCAGGTTGGCATCCTCACTTTCTCACCCTATCTGGAAATTATTTTTTCCTTCTGCTTTCTTCAGAAAGTCATGGTGACTTGATCTATATTGCATTTATTTAATCATGGGGAATGTTGATCATATACCACAGCAACGCGTCTGGACGCGGAATCTTTTTGTAATTTTCGCTTCTTTATTACTATTCTTTAATACTTTATCTCTCTTACCATGGGGAATATATCATGCTCGATCATTTCTTCATACCGATAATCATCCTACCTCACAGTTTTCTTCCAGCATTGCTTCTCTCGAAACTGTAGACATCGGACAATTGCAAGGAGGAGAGGATATCGCATCAATACTCAAGGCGGCGGCGGATATTCTGGGTGCTGTAAGCGCACAACATCATCTTACTTCTTTACAAGCTCTTAGCAATGATTTGCATAAGTTGGCTGTGGATACACATCAAGCACAGAGCGGGAACAATTTGAAAACTCGAGGACTTTTCGATGGCTTTGCTTCAATATTGACAGGCGGCGCGGCAGGAGGAGCGGGAGGGGCAGCGGGAGCTGGTGGAGCAAAAGCGGCTACGGGAGGAGGTGGCCTCACAGGGATCTTTGAGACACTCGGTGGAAAACTTCTTGATGTTACTGCTGATTCTTTGGCCACCCCGGCAGGATTTTTGGGTGATGGTGTTGGAAGAGGTGCTACGACTGGTCTCAAAATTAACAATGGAGTCAAGCAAACTACTGCAGAAAAGCCATCTGGTGTCAACGCTATTGCAGCAAATCTAGGATTCGGGTAAGCACTCTTTGAACAGAAGATATCAAATTCATCCCAATACAATTTGCTGACTGGTATCATAGAGCTTCCAATGCTCTCACGGGAACTTTGAACACATCATCATTCCTCACTGGTGCAGGAGCTGCTTCTTCCGCTCTAGGCACTGGTCTTGGAGGAGGAACTGCTAGCGGATTGGGTCTTAATAAATCAGCTGTTGCTGCGCCTAATGGAACTGGTATCCCTTTGATTGCTGGTAATCTCGGAAATGGGCTTACTCAATCGCTCTTCTCGAATATCGATATGTCGAAATTGATGACGGGTTTGCCAAGTGGGATGTTGCAATCTGCGGTTGTTAATGCTGGGAAAGGTATGTTTTTTTTTAATGATAGAATTGGTGGTTCGGATGGTCTAGACTGCAGTCAAGTTTCAGATTTTGGTTTTGAGATTATGAAAATGCTATTCTCAGTCGTCTATATTCATTATTTTGGATTAGTACAATGATTGAAGCTATTTCGCTATCTGAAATGAGTCGAATATTCCAAAGATTCCATGCTGTGGATTGCAGTCTGGACTATCAAATACCTTGGGCAGAATCATGCTAACATTGTTATAGGATTGGGAGAAGGTGCTGCAGAGGGTCTTGATTTACCAATGAACATGGCTACTATGAGAATGCGGCTCAAGAGAGCTGCTGCCGCAGCTGCAGGAACCAACACGACAGGTTCAGGTCTTAACGTTAATGAGATTGCATATGGATTCACCAAATCACTCTCAAGTTCTTTCCTTGGCGCCGTCGATGTCAAGAAATTGACTTCCCAAGCCATGTCCGGATCCAATCTTACCAGTATGGTTGGACCTACTCTTGTGGGAGCTGGATCTGGATTGGGTGCCGGCGCAGCACAAGGTCTCGGACTTTCGAATGCAGCTGTGGCTCCTAGTACTGGAGCTGATGCTGCGGCGCCAGAAGTGGCTCAGAATTTTGCATACGAACTCACGACTAGTTTCCTCGCGAATGGAACGCTCTCATCATTGCAATCAAAACTTATGAGTGCGATGTCTATGACTAATATATCTGCAATGCTGGGTCCGGCAGCGCAAGGAGCGGGTAGTGGTATTGGACAGGGTGCAGCGGTTGGTCTGGGCTTGCAGGATCCTTCGACGGCGCAGAGTCCAATGGGAGGAGATGTAGCGATGGTTGCGAGAGATTTCTCTTATGGTCTTACGAGTAATTTTCTTGCTAATGGTACGGTTTCGCGTCTTCAAGCGAAAGCAGCTGCGCTTCTCGGTGGAGGGTCGAATTCTTCTTCTGGGGCAATGATGTCGGCATTACAAAAAGTGTCAGTTTCGAAAGCAGCTGAGGGTCTCGCAAGGGGTCTTGTCGATGGTGCAGGTCAAAGTGTAGCGAATATGGGAGGTTTCCAGGCCATTCTCAATGGAGCCAATTCATCCGAAGTGATGATGCAAGCTGCAACACCGATTTTCAAATCGGATGATTTCAATGATACGACAGGGGGAGTAGCAACATCTTTCGGTCAGGGATTGGGTGGTCAAGGTGTGACATTGATTGCGCAAATGTTGGGGATGAGTATGTCACTATCTTCCAACGGCACATTAACACCAAGCACTATGGGAAACAACTCCACGACACCCGCATCTCTCTCCTCCCCAGAAACACCCGCAAATAATCTCTCCACTCCAGCCATTCGAGCCCGTTCCTATAGATCCCCCTCCTCTATCATCCGCAAATCCGCACCCCTGATATCCCCATTCCCCAACCTCCACAAACGCGTCGACGACCCCACAAATCTCAACATCTCCGATATCACCAGCGGTCTCCTCACCGGCGTCAACGTCACCTCTCTTGATGTACTTTTACAAAAAGGCGTCGATACGCTTACATGCCAGGGCATCGGTGGGTTTGTCGAGATTTTCAAGGGACTCAAAGCGAGTGGGAGTATTCCGGCCACGGGGGGAAGCGTCATGTTACCTAATGCGACATTCACGGTTGCGAGTCAGGGAAATGAATTTTTGATTAATCCGGCCACGCAGGTGATTTTGGTGAATGGGATTGGGATTAATCGGTTGACGATTTTGATTGTGGCGCATGGTATGTACTTTTTCCCTTCTTTCCCTAATTTTCTCTCCTTTTTTCTTCTTTTTTTGTGATAATATAAATCTAACCCCCATTAGCATTCCTCCTCATCCTCGCCTATTTCCTCGCCATTCCACTCGCTCTCCTCCTCACCTCCGGCCACGAAATCGCAACCATGCTCTCCCTCCCCCACATCTGGGCTTCCGCCCCCAAGACCCGTTTCCGCATTTGGATCTTCGCCGTTCTGCCTCTCTCCCTGAGCGGCGGCATTCTCGGGATTCTTCTCCTCGGCTCCGCATCCCACGGCACCACATTCCACGGACTCCTCGGATTTGCTGTGCTCGTTTTAACGATTGTGGCGTTTGTGCTGGAAATGAAATTTCTCCCCGGAATCGAGAAGTTGAAACTGCTGAGGGGAATCGTGCTGAGTGTTTTGTTGGCTGCGGCAAACGCGGCGTTTGTAACGGGTTTTGTGGATATTCAGAGGATTAGTCTGTGTACGGTTAGATTGCCGGATCAGGTGTTGATTGGGGCGGCGATGAACGCGGCGAGTTTGTTTACCACGGGGATGACGGTGGTGGCGGTGAAAATGAGGTTGGAGAAGTGGATCAAGGGGAAGAAGGGGGGGAGTGGGAGTGCGAGTGCGAGTGTGGGGTTTAATGATATGGAGAAGAGTGGGTTTGAGACGGATAAGAAGGAGAAGGTTAGTTTGAAGGAGAGGATTAGGGGGTTGAGGGGGTAGAGAGAGGGGGGGAGGAGTGAGGTGAGTGGTGTATATAGATTGAAAAGTTGGATGGATTGGTGGATGGATTTGTTGTTGTATAAGATGGATGAAATGAATGAAATGGATCGAATCGTTTTAGATACCCCTTGGAGTCGACTGGTCGGCTTCTTTACACTCTCTAATAAATAAGTAGTTGTAGCAAATATTACAAAAAGTTCGTAGCTGAAAACGTTACAAAATAGTTTATAAATTGCGTGCGGGATTGTAAAATTTTACAATCCTCGTAGAATGATAATCTCTAAATGGATGGATATCCAAATCATACATGAATGAAAAAAATGTCTTCCTCCCTCTCGCTTAAATCCACTGTACCCCTCACCTCATCCCAAACCTTTCCTTTTCGGAATCCCTACACCCTCTCTCTACACCTCTAACTCAATCCTACAACCTGGAAGTTATAGTTACACAAATTCGCCTTATTCACCACCTCCAACGGACCCTTCCCACTCACCACCACCGTCCCCGCCGCATTCGTCACACTCATGCTCACGGCCCCCGTCGTAATATTCGACACAACCATGGTATTAAAACCCGGCTCGAAACTCTTCGTCCCCAACACCTTCCCCCCCACACTAATACTCCCCTTCAACTCCTGCACCCCACTGGCCACCAACACCACCGCCGTAACACTATCCTCCACACCCCCAATCCCCACCGGTTTCCCCAACCCCAACGAATCCGCCGCACAATCTCCATTCTTCAACAACGTATGATGCCAAAACGTGCCCTGGGCATCCTTCCCATTCGTCGGATACATGGTCTGCGTGCTCGTCTTCCCCGCCTTCCACACTTTGATAAAACTCTGGAGAATCTGCCAATACCCCGTGTGATCGTACGCGATACTCGAGAGCGCCTCGGGCGTCGTATCTGAAACCAGCGGTTCCCGCCACGTATTCCCCATGTAGTGCGATTCGCCCGCGTCGTTCCACGTTTGGAATTCGATGAAATCGGGCTGTGCGGAGAGCACTTGAGCGAAGCGCACTTCGAGATTGGCTTCGCCGCGGCGATACCAGTTTTGTGTGCTGTCGATGTGTTTGAATTGTAGGGGGGAAATACCCATCATGAATCCTTTTCCGGCGGCTTGGGCGGCTTTTTGATAGATGCTGTCGTCGATGGTGTCGACGGGGGAGTCGCCGGCGGAATAGGTGGGCCAGGAATTCCAATTGAATGTTCCGTTTAATGTTGGGTATTTGGTGAAGAAGGATGATGTGGCGGCTACGTCTTGGAATGAGGGGATCAGATAGATGGGATGACCGGCTGCGGCCATGACTGCTTGGACTTCGTTTTTCCAGCCGTCGTTTACGCTGCCTTGGCCGAATGTAAAAGATGAAGCGCCCCCGTTGAAGGTCGAGACGAAGGGTTGTCCGGAATAGGTATAGTATGCGCTGTTTGTGACGTATGTTTTGAGGATAGGGATGAATTGGGAAGGAGAGTTGAATCCGGTCATGTCGAAGGAGAAACTAGGTAAGAGTTAGTTGATGTTTCATTTGTGGGAAGAGTGATAAGTACAAGAGTTTAAAGTTATGAGTTTGAGCATGCTTAAAGAGGGAGTTGACAGCGTTCAATGCCCATGAATGGCTAGAATCTAATGTTACGGCTAAATTGAGAGCAAAAGCATCGACTCCCAATGCAACAGCATCAATAATATCTTGCTCACAATGAGTATCATTGATTCCTCCTATCATGTAGTGAAAGAAGCTAACAGAGATTAGATGATTGCTAATGCATGACTAGATGTGATACTTACACAGGTTTTCCGGTAGGCGCTGCGGCTGCAGTTGCGATCGCAGATGTAGATGCAGATTTTGAGGTTGCAACTACACTTGATGCAACCTTAGAACTGGTTGATGATGTTGCCTTGGAATGTGAGGCTTTTGTAGCAGGCGCAGCAACAGCTAAATCATTTTCACCAACAATTCTGGCTAAAATTTCAAACGTAGATCAGTACTCGATGAATGAAACATGAGGGAAAGGATAATGAGAGTGAATTACCGGAACTAGAAGCAGAAGTAGAAGTAGAAGCAGAAGTATTAGCGTCTGAAGTAATGGTGCTCTTCACTGAAATGACTGTAGATATTTTCTGAATCGAAGTGATAGTAGTAGAGATAGCGCTCGTAGTAGCAACGACGGAAGATGTTGCTTCACAACCTGTTCCAGTTGATCTCTACAAGAATATCAATATCTCCCATTCAAAGCAAATCACAAGATAACATCCACTTACCAAAACCGCCGAAGTAGTAGGCTTCACAACAGTCTCCACACACGTTCCCGCGCGGTGAGAAATATGATCATAAGCTCCCAAAAGTCCCACTTCACAACAAAAAGCATTTCCATCCAATCCATCCCATAGATTCCAGGAGGCATCTGCACATTTAGGTGCTGCTTCAATTACACTCCTGCATTCTCCCGCTGTTGGGTATTAGATTTGTTGGATGTGAATCGAACTCTCGGCGAGAAAAATAAAAAGAAAGAATAAAGATATCATACCAAAAGGACAACAAGCTGCAACCTCCGAATTCGCAGGTGTAGCACAAAACATTCCCGAAGGACAACATGCACCAGCCGCCGTATCTCCACAAGATGTGCTGCCTGCCGGACAAGTAGAAGCCTGGACAGACCAACCAAATAATCCTGCATTGCGAACAGATTGAAGTGAGTGTAGAGGTAGATGTCTTGCAGAGATAAGGCTTGAAGAAGCTAAAATGGTAAGGACTGATAGATGCATGATTGCAATAAAAACAACAGCTTAGAAAGAATGTAACGAGGAAAGATACTTTATTCCAGAGGAATATCTCCAAAACCAAATTCAAACAATGACGAACAGAACTTCAACAAAAGAATGTGTATCAAAACCCGTATCCTGACAGATTGATAATTAAGAAAGAGGCTCTGAGAATAAGCAAAGAAAGATACATAACATATATATACCAACCTCGAACCAAATCTCGAATGAAAGAAGGATCCTAGAGCCTCTCTCGCGGACAGTTCATCCTCCCTACCATCCCTATCGGCCGAGTTATCCATTTCAATTTCCTTTCCCGTTTTCCTCCAACTCCCTTCATACGTTGTATGAGATTCAATCACACACACATACACACAATCCCTATCGCTCCCACGAGCGGAAAATAAATCACTCCTCAGGATCAAAAAGCTTTGGAAACAACGGGGCGATTTCATCTCTCCACTCAATCTAATTGGCTACTGATATCTTTTAGCGTGCATTGAAAACAAAACAGCGCCACGAGAAACCCCTGAAAGGATGAAGCTGTAAATTGGTGGTTTGTTATAGGCTCTTCTGTGATATGTAATCCACTATATCGTGGATTAAAATATCTTCCGTGTTAGTTTTGTAGGGGTTTTGACAGTTTTTGGGGGAATGCTTCGCGGTAGGGTTTCTTGGGTTGTTTGGAGTGTATCGTGGTATTGCAGGCAACAGAATTATTGTGAGCACTTGATTGTTGAATAAATAGAATTTCATTTATGAGTAACGACCAACGAATGACGACTGATGAAATTAATCATTTATCACGATTAGATCTGATCCGTTTGAAAACGGCCCGATACTCGAGAATTAGTTTTTGAGGCTGAAGGAATACTCATAGGTAAGAGAGACGTTTACTGTACCTAGGTAGGTATCTAGAGTGGTAATGTCATATGCGACTCAGTAGCTACCTAGTAAATCTAAAGAGGACAGGGAGCGGCATATAAAAGGTACTGAATTTCTTAAATACTGCGATGCTACCTTCATCCATACCTTCATCCATCCATACCAACCTGCGCATAATTCCTTCTCCAAAACCCCCAAGAACCCCAAGAAATCCTCTCCAGACCAGAGTTCCCTCGAGAATTCTTTATTTATTTCAATCACAATATTACTCCAACCCCACCACATCAATCCTTTCGTACAATACCACTTTAAGCATCCAACCCTTCCCCTCTCCCTCATCCATCCATCCATCCCCATCCCCATCCCTATCCCCATACCTCACCCCCTCCCTCCATCAAAAACCACCTTCCCATACATAGCTAGGTAATCTTACATAAACCCATATACGATACCGAACATCGGTAATCCCGAGAAATCTCTCCCACGTCGTAACCTTATGTCTCGCATCCATATTAAAGTTTAGACTCGATCGATCTATAGCCAGTCTTCTTTCGCGTATCTGGGTTTGGGATAGGGGTGTGTGGGGTTTATGTAGGTAGGTATATATATATACATTTTGAAGATTAACTATTATCTACTATCTACTATCTACTATTTAAACAACACCTCACTATTTAGTACCTTTAAGACCTTCAGATACCTAATAGTAACAAGTTAACTTATTTCATCTAGAATATACGAGGTTGATGGAATTATATTATATACATTCGCTTAGTCTCACTCTCTACTACCTACTATCTATATATAAATACTATACCTACAAAATACTCCCTATACATCTCAAGAACAATATCTCTTACTTAAGGGAAATATATATTCTAAATCTTTTTGAATGATGGGCTTATATTTTCTCCTCCTCTCCTTCTGTCCTCCTCTTTCTCTCACTATAACATCGCAATAACATCGCAATAACATCCTCTATACCTACCTATCTCCTCCCCTCCTCATTTCTTTAGTTCGCTTCAAACCTCTAACCTCCTACATTCCTACTCAAATCATATAAATTCTATCCATAGATTGTATACACAACTCCTCACAATCTCAATCTCACAATCTCAATCTCACAATCTCAATCTCACAATCTCAATCTCACAATCTCAATCTCACAATCTCAATCTCACAATCTCAATCTCACAATCTCAATCTCACAATCTGACATTATCATATATAGCCAGCCATCTCTCCATTTCCCTCGCCTATTAACTTACAAACTAGAAACTCTATGAATCTCAAAATGTACTCTCATTTCCTTCTCTATATCCATATCTGTACTTTCTTAATAGCAGGAGCAGAGCAAGAGCAACGACCGACGCAGCGACGGAACGCCAGCGACGCACCCCCAGCGACGCACCCCCAGCGACGCACCCCCAGCGACGCACCCCCAGCGACGCAACGCCAGCGACGCACCCCCAGCGACGCACCCCCCAGCGCCGCAACGAGCAGCAGAACCAGCAGCAGAACCACGCCACCACGCACCGCCCACAAACCACAAACACAAACCACACCACACCCGGCGGCCCGCCACGCCCCAGCCCAAACGCGCCAAAGGCAACGCTGCAATCCTCAAGCCCAAGCCGGCAAGCCCAAACTCGCCAAGCTATCAGAAGCAGGCCCGAGCAAGCCCCAGCATGCCCCAGCAAGCCAAACGCAATAAAGCCAATCCGATAAACATAACAAACCGCACAGAGCCAATCCAAGCCAATCCAAGCCAAGTCCTCGCCCACCCCTGGAATTCTTCCCGGGCCCCGATTTCCTCCCCGCGGCTCGCCCTCTCCCTCTCCTCTCCCTCTCCCTCTCCCTCTCCCTCTCCCTCTCCCTTTTCGCTTCGCTGCGCCCCCTCCCTTCCACCCCTTTCTCCACTCAATTCGTTCCAAATAAAACAACTGAAATACCTGTGAGGCATAGCCCAGCACAGTCCAGCCCAGCCCATGGTCTAGTTCAATTTTCCATACATCCCCATCCCATTCCATCCCATTCCCATTCTATTCTATTTCCATCTCATTCTCATCTCATTCCCTTCCATCCCTCCCATCCCCTATCTCTATTCCCAACTACATCCCCATCCATATCCATATCTGTTGGGACAGGGATCATGTGACCGCGCTAGCGCATGCGCTAGCGCCCCCGCACTATAGCATATACGTTCGTAGCCTTTAGCTTTTAGAACCTTAAGCAATATTACAACAGTGTGAATCATTAGTACGATATACTGCACCAGCCCCAGGGTGATACCAACAATATCCAGATCCAGATCCCCCTGCTCAAGTACGCGCCCAAACACACAAACACCACATCCACAGCCAAATTACCCATCAGGCCAATTCCAATCAAAAGCCCAATCCATGTGCCAGCCCAGTCCGCTCTTCATCCTCGCCTCGTCTTATCCTATACTCGCTGCATCCCTATCTCTCTTCATCCTTCGCGACTCCCTAATCTCCATTTGCACCGCCAGTGCACCTCCACCTCCCCCTTCACTACACAAATCGATCTGATCCTATCTATTGCTAGCTATCTTATCTATCTATCATCTATCTATCTATCTATCTATCTATCTATCTATCTATCTATCTATCTATCTATCTATCTATCTATCTATCTATCTATCTATCTATCTATCTATCTATCTATCTATCTATCTATCTATCTATCCCCCTTCAAGACTACCTACTCATCCACTCGCTACTCACCCCATTCCACTACTCACCCATTCACCCACTCACCCATTCACTACCCCATTTACTACCCATTTCAAGCAACAGCAACACAACACAAGAACAACAGTATCACTAATATCAAAAACATTCATCATCATCATCATCATCATCAAAAGAGGTATAATATCAAAGTAGCCATTTATTCATCCCATCCCATCCCATCCCATCCCATCCCATGCCACTCTACCCCACTCCACTAGCAACATACATGGATAGATAGACAGATAGATCAAAAGCTACCTAGCTACCTAGCTACCTAACTACCTAACTACCTAACTACCCAATGCAAAACTTATCCCCCATCCCTTGTCCTCTCATCTACTCTCCTCCCTCCCTCCCCTGCTCTACCATCCCATCTTCTCTCCATTCGCACAAAAGCTCACAACTCACTCACTCACTCACTCACTCACAGCAAGCAAAAAGTGAAGTTGTACCTTGCAACCAATCAATCAATCAATCAACCAATCCACCCATTTTGTACCTTGTACCAGCTAAAGTATGATAACCTCATAGGTCCATCCATCCATGTCCATTGATCAAATCAAAAGTAAACAGAATTCACGCAAAGCATCCATATCCATATCCATATCCATCAACCATTCGACTACGACAAAAAGTGTATGAAAAGGAAAGGAACAGGAAAAGAAAAAGCGAGAGAAAACCAAAGCGATAATTGCATGTTGTGTTAAAAAAGACCGCCCTAAACACAATTGCAAAGAAAGAAATCAAACGTCAACGCCATGCCTGAGTAGCTAGAATCTTTTACTATGAAAAGAAAAAGATCTTAATATTTGTTTTGATGATTGATTATCTTTATTCCATCTTCTTAATCTATGCATCAGTCTTAGCCTTCTTCTTTCTAGACTTTGGTGCTGATTTGGGTGTTTCAACTGTTGCTGGTGCTTCTTCTTGCTCAGTAGTAGCAACAACTGGCTCATCAGCCTTCTTGCCAGAGCGCTTACGCTTTCTAGCTGGACTTGCCTCTTTTTGAGGGGGGACGATAGAAGCAGATGATGGAGCGGGGATTTCTTCAGCGACATCGGCTTTGCCTTTTGATTTACGTCCCTTGGCTTTTGGCGTCTTTGGAGCTGGAGTTGGTGATTTCTCAACTTCGGCTTCGGCTTCAGGTTCACCTTCGGCATCTTCTTCTTCCTCAACTGTCGCTGTCACTCCGGCGGTGGCTTCTCCTACGAGTTGAGCATCGGCAGAAGCATCTGCTCCAATGTTGTTCTCATCAGCATACGCGGCGGCAGCATCATCACCCATTTCCTTAGCTGTAAGGTTACCTCTGCGATAGGCGTGCATGCGCGCATTGTAGAGACGGAGGTTATCCTTGTAGGCATCTTGCCAGAGCTTGAAATACTATTAGTAATGGAAAAAAAGAGCTTGGATAATAAAACTTACAGCTTTATCCTTAGGCGCCATGTCGGTCCATCTCTTGGTACCTTCACTTGAAACCTCTCCCTTGGGAACATCACCAAGGTCTTTTGCGATGATAGGACGAGCGGTTTGCATATAGAGGAAGAATGGAGTCAGAGGACGCTTTGGCGCATTTGGATCATGTTGTCTCTTTTTTCTCTCCTTCTTCTCTGGAGCAGTCTCCACAGCTTTAGCTATGATGGGACTTGCAGCGCGTTGAAGGGCACCCAAAGTTTCGAGGAGAGGATTATCGCCGAGCTTGGACAGAGCTGTGTCGATGGTATAGCCGGTGCCATGTTCGCCGAGGACAGCATTGGTATGTTTGATGTAGGCGGAGGAAACACTCGAGATGGCTTCTTGTAAAGTCGCGAGACCACCGATAAACTTTGACCACATTAGCGTTTGCTCACAAAGATACAAATTTAAATCCATTTGCTGGCGGGTTGGTGGGGTCGCCATTGTATCGAAACGCGAAAGAGCTTGATCAGATGTAAACAGTATTGACGCGTGAGCGAAGACTTTGAGGTAGATTTTGAAGATGGGATTTGGGACGTGGAAATAGGTGCAATCGAGTCGCGTCAATGTGCGATTGCGATATTTGTATGATTCCAATATGTAGTGATTATAGTGGTTAAACTGTAGCTGATGGGAATGATGTATATGTATATAGGTAATGGCGGGGGGATAGTTGGATGATCGATTGGAGGAATGCGATGAAGAAGATGGAATGGCTCGAGACAAGGAATGTAAAAAAAAATGAGCATAAAGAAGAGGAAACTTACAGTATCTCTAGTTCTCACAAAGCTTGCAACATCGATTTGTAAAGTTGCTCCATCACCAGCTGGAACTTCCTTTGGTTTTTCTTCCGTCTTCTTTGGACGAGGCATTTTTAATATTTTTCTGATTAATACCTATGTATGTGGTGAGAAGTAGGTAGGTAGGTAGATAGGGATGTATGTATGTATTGGTTGATTGAAAGGTTGTATGTTGTATGTTGTGTGTTGTTTTTGGATTGTAGGCTGGCGTTGCTGATAATCCAAGCCTGAGAAGTATGAGAGGGAAGTAAAAGTAAATTTGGAGGGATTATGTTTGGGGGGTTTTTTGGGGTTTTGGGATTTTTGGGGGGAGGGGGGGAAGGTGAATGATTTAAAAGCGGATTATGGGCTTTCCGATCACTAAGATCACTGGGGGTATGGAAGGCCGCACCAACTCGTTTGTGAGCGTGAGTGAAGGAAACGAGGGAAAAGTAGGGAAAAGTAGGGAAAAAGTAGGGTACAGTACAGTAGTGAGGAAAGGTATAATTGAATGAGTGGGGTGGGGGGAGGGGGTAAGGCGAGGAAAAGATTTTTTGATTTTTTGATTTTTTTTCCCTCTTCTCTTCTTCTTCTTCTTTTTCTACTGTGGATGTACTGGGAGAGTAATAAAAGTACTAGGGAGATTCTGGGTGTAGGGGTAAAGAGAACATGCGCCATTTTTACAATTGAACACTGAAAGATCTATCTATTTTACTATTAGATATGTAGGTAGGTAGTAGGTAGTAGGTAGTAGGTAGCAGGTAATAGGTAGGTAATAGGGTGACTACAGTACGAGAGAGCGAGAGTGCATATAATGATTGGAAGAAAAGTTGTAGGTTGTAGATAGTAGTGGTAGATAAAAAGATAGTAGTGTAGTATTTCAATATAGTAGATACCTAGATAGTATTATTATTATTATTATTATTATTATTATTATTATTATTATTATTTGCTATCATCAAAAACTTTACATTGAATACCTACTAGGTAGATAATGATTTCAAAGAGATACTACTACCTACCAGCACCTCTTCAACAAGAATCTATATCTATAATAGATACTCATCAACTCAATCAATATAATACCTAATACAAACCATCTCCTTCATTCTTGCACAACCAAATGCTTTCTTTTGCTTCCAAATTCTCCCAAGTCACTTTGATTCATTCGCTCTGCTTTGCTTATATTGGCACTGTATCATGCTCATAGGGGCAGGCCACGGGAACAAGTCAAGTACCTAGCTAGGTATAGATCTCGATACATTTCGGCGCTACGAAGCCTCGAAGCCTCCAAGATTGCTCTTCCCCGTCCCGATTTCGGTGATCTTGTGCGACAGATTAATAAACACCTAATAGGTAGTATTCGTTTGACCTATTCCAGAAGGTACTCGGGGTAAATATGGGAAGGAGAAACCTCAAGAATGGCTGCAATGAGAAATCATTCACGAATTCCCTAGGTAAATCTACAATATGATATGATACTAATTATGTTTATATTTAAATTCTTGATTCTCTGAATTGAAATAGAATAATCAGATCGTTAAGGGCTTCGCCAGTAGTCAATTCCGGTCTGTTTTTTCTCTAATGTGTGAGCACTACCTAATAAGCCCTGGTACCTACACAGATTTCGAGTACTGAACTGGACTGGACTGAATGATTGATTGATTTCAACTCTCTACTGATCCAATTTATATTTGGTAACAGAAAATGGGCTTTTGTGGGCGCATTACAGGGTATAACTACAGATATTCTCGTATCACGATTTAACCCGGCCTATTCTACGGTCTACCCTACTTGACCCTACTCTACCCAGATTAAGCCTAATTACATGACCACATGTGCTCTCTTCTCTAGTGATTGGGGTTGATCTGGTTGATCTGGTTGATCTGGTTTGGCTTGTTTGCTTTTAATATTTCAGATTTCTTGCTGTTGTTTTCTTTGCTTTACTGTGACCACCACCACTCCTACTGCTGATACTGTTTGGATAAGTTTGAGAAGCGGTATCCATATCCATATCGATATGGATGGATATATCTGTTGCACATCTAACATCCAACATCCTAATAAATCATGCTATACATTACCTAGGTACCTATCTCGGTATTGGAGTACGGTTGGAAGTTGGAAGTTCCATCTAATCCCCAATCTCAGAATTCATACTTTTGATAAGAATTCAACATTGCAACAGAACATTATAAATCATGCCTACTCCAATAAGGCTACCTAATAAACCCCATCGAAAGCTCTTCAACCGTTCAAAACACATACATATGAGGTAGGCAGGTGGTACATATTGTACAAAACTCACGATAACCTTACTTCTTGGGCATTTTCAATTGGGCCTTGAAAAGCAAATTCTATTATCCATGGATCCATTACCTAGGGATTCCTCATAACTCAGGTACCTCCAGACTCCAGTACTCAAGTTCGTACCTTCCTCCATAACTCAAATACCTAGCACGTACCTTCCTCAGCACTCAAATACGTACCTCCCTCAAGCACCGAACCAACCTTATTAACACCCCACACCAAAATCCAAACCTCTCTCGCCTCTCCACTTTACTGCCTTCATACCTGAATACCTAAATACCTAAATACCATAGCTATCCATGGATTCCTCCACTCATCAAGCTTGCAAGGTGACCTAAATACTCTTTGACAACGCCGGCGCAACTCCTGTCTGTTCTGTGTATCAGTGATCGCCATCAGGTCATAACATTCACTCCAAAGGACACTGATTACAAGCTTTCCAATCATTCCCCTTCCCCTCTATTGCTACACAAATCTCCTTCATTCACAGCTGACCGCAGGACCAACATAAAACATTCTGTGATTCCTTTCTCGTGCGAGATTCAATCTTACTGGATCATCTTGACTTGGCGTACAGCGAATATCGTATCCAAACCCCACCATTTTTGAAGAGATTCGGCTTGGCTTACCTATCTGCTACATAATTTGACCCCTCACAAAGCCTTCCGTCGGTTGGTCCACTAATCTACGAGTACTCACTCATATTTGGTTTTCTTGTTATTCTTGCTGTGCTCGATTGGAACCCCTCCATTAAGTTCAACAACTATTCGAATATATCATCGCAAACATGATTTCGTTCAGCAGCTCGACGCTGCTTCTATCCTTTGCGATCCTGCTCCTATTAGCACACCCAGCTCATGCCTTTGGTGCTGGAAATATTGCATCGGTCTCAAAAATTGAAGGAATAAACTGTCAGTTCATATCTATTCCGCCTGTACAAGAACACCCTTTCTAATTTGTTGTTCAGGGCGCCATGGAGATATTGAAGATACCCTCCTTACTCTTGTTATGTCAAGAGCTTGCGGTGGAAAGAAGTTTGATAAAATGATGGTAGCAAGAGTTTACTTTGGTAACTGGCTGAGAGATTACTGTAAGTATAACTTCATCATGCCTGAAACCAACTCACCCCTCACCCACCCCCAATCTCACTATTATCGGATACTAATCTTCTTTCCTCCTCCAGCTCAAGCAATCGATGTTGGTACCGTCAAATATGTTTCCGCTGAAGCTATTCGCATTCTTCTCTGGGTTCTTGGATTTATGACTTTCGGATATGGCACAAGAGAATTCGAAGTTACAGCTCAAAGATTGGGTTGTTATCGACCAGAAGATCACATTGATAACCCAAAAGATTATGCCGATAATCTCGATGCTTCAGAATATGATCCTAGACTTCGAGGTCCAGTCGATGAAGAAGTTGAGCTCGCTATCGATCCCCGCACTGGCATGAAGAACTATATTGCAAACGAACACGTTGGAATCATGTCATCTGCTGAACATGTCCGAAAGCTTTTCCGTGAATCTATTCGACTTGGTAGATCCTACGGAAGAAACCAGAACAAGGACGACTTATATGAGGCACTTCGATTGTTGGGTACTGGATTACACTGTCTGGAGGATTTTTCTGCTCACAGCAATTACACCGAACTTGCTCTCATCGAGATGGGAGAACGTGATGTTTTCCCACATGTTGGAAGAAGAACTCGAATCGAGCTTCCAGGCGCTGAACATGAAGTTTACCCACTCATTACTGGTACCTTTGGTGGTGTTGACTTCCTTCACTCTGTCATGGGTGAATTCGACGATAAAGCAACTCAAAGTGAAATCCAAGCCCTTGAAGGAACCATGCAAGAAGGTAGTGAAGGCAATACCAGTGTCTTGAAGGACCTATTAAGTTCAGTTCCCTCTGGACTTTTTGGTGGTAAAGATGAAGCTAGTAAAGCAGATGAGCTTCAAGCCAATGCTGCTGCCGCCCAACAATCTCAAGAGGAAGTCTCTCCAAAAGATCCAGAAGCTTTTACAATCCGAATGCAAGAAGTCGCCAAGGAAATTTATCCAATCATTCAATGGCACGACGAGACTATGCAATCAATTCGTGAAGCGATCGAAAAGATTCCTATCCTTCCAGACCTCATCGAGAACATTGAGGAACAAATCAACATTTTTGTCTTTTCTCTCCTTGCTCCATTCGTTCTTCCAATCATTAGCCAGATTAAGACCGAGTTGAACACCGGTTCCTCCGAGGTTATCCAAAGCAGTAAGGACAAGCAATTGATTGTTTTCCACGATGATCATTCTACAGATCCTACACATTCTATGTTATCTAAGGATCATTTCTCTAACGTAAGTATTATTTCTTTACTACAATTGTTATCCGCAAGGCATGTTTCCTCGGGTCGTATGATGCCTTTGGCATCAAATGTTACGGATTCATATGATAACCATTCTACAATCATCATTGATACTAACATACTTTTTAGATCCTCAACGAATGCGCTGGTAGGATCGCTTCTCAAGTTCTCAAATGGGTTGTCCCTCAACTCATTTCTTGTTGGGATGATGAACGCATTGATCCCGATCGTATAATTGATCGTATCGTTAACGGTGTTTTCCATCATCCCGCTCTTCGCAACTATGGTGACGATGGAGCATCTGATGGTCGTCAACTTATGTTCAGAGTTGTAGAGGATTGGTGGCGCAACAAGGACGGTGACGAACAAGAGGAATACCGAAGAAAGTTGAGCAGAGATGGAGTTGAAAACGGAGAAAATCATCTTGAGGGTGTTCATGATACTGGTCATGGATGTGGTGCACCACTTAAAATGTCCAAGCAAGGTCCTATGATGTCTTCATCAAATCCAATGGCAAATGAAATTATGGGTGGACTTGCTTCCTCAATGGGTGGTAATGGTGGATCGTCAGGATTTGGTGGACAAGCATCTGACGGAATTGGCAAGTTTGCTCGAGAAGCGGTTGGTGGTGGTGCTTTTGGTGGTATTGTTGGTGCTCTCGCTGGAGGTGTTGGTGGAAGCCTTTTAGCTGGAGTTTTAGGTGGTGGAGGGAAAGAAGAATCATACTCTTCTGAAGGTTACAACTCTCAAGGTAACTACCAACAGAGTTATACTGAAGTTGGTCACTCTGGCGATCGCTATGCTCAAGCCGAGTATACACAAGAACAATTTCCAGATGGTGGCAGACGCACAGATTACCAACAATATGGTCAGCAAGGAGGCCACGGAGCTGGCTTTGAACAAATTACCGAGCAAAGACCTCGATATGGTGGAGGTTACGAAGAAACCAACGAACGCATCTACCAACGTTCTGATGGTAGAGTCGAGACTGAAACATGGCGCGAGGGTGAAACAGCTGATGGGCGTCACTATCATGAAGCGGAACATCATAGAGAAGAGAGATCTGGTAGTGATAGTGATGATAGTCGCAGGAGCCATAGAAAGCATCACAGGCATCACAGTCGTCGTGGAAGTGATGACAGCAACGAAGATAGGGATAGACCACAAGAGTATGTTCCAGAGAGAGAGGAGCGCAGAGAGAGATTTGAGGAGCCTCGTCAGGATTATGGTGGATATGGTCAACAAAGAGAAGAACATGGTGGTTGGGGTGGTGAACGTGAAAGATTTGAGGAACCACCAAGACACGAATATGGTGGTGGCGGTGGATATGGTGGTGGAGAATTTGGTGAGACAGTTGGAGGATTGGCGGAGAGATTTGGTGGTATGGGATTCGGTGGGGGAGACCATGGAAATGAAGGTGGTTGGGGTGAGAGGGAGAGAGAGGAGGAGAGAGAAGATGAATATCGTGAGGAGAGGAGAGAGGAACGTGGATGGGGTTTCTAGGTTTCTAGGTTTCTAGAGTTTTGGTGGCATGATGACGTGATGGGATATGAGGAATGAGAGTATGAGCGATGATGATATGATATGATGCTATTGAAATCGTTCAGTCCAGCAAACGAATGGAATATGCGAAAACGATAAATTTCATGGAGAAGGATCTAGTTAGATAGATCTTTTGAAAAGTGTTCCAGTTTCAATGCTACTACGATGCTTTTCTACTTGTAACTGTGGGGATGACGATACTTTGAATACCTAATTTTAGATGTTCAAATATGAGTGAGTGTAGAATGACTAAGAAGTAATCCATTTCAGAGATGAAGAGTTATTGATTGGGTTTCTGTTGTCTTGTATCTTGTATCTTATATTTTATATCTTGTAGAAGTGTAGATGTTAAAGTGGATGGATGGATGGATGAATGAATGGATGGTGGGAGTTGTTGTTGTTGTTGTTGTTGTTGCTGCGAGTGAGTGAGTGAGTGAGTGAGTGAGTGAGTGAGTGAGTGAGTGAGTGAGTGAGTGAGTGAGTGAGTGAGTGAGTGAGTGAGTGAGTGAGTGAGTGAATGAGTGGGTGGATGGGTGTTTTTTCGCTTGGAGATTAGATGTTTGGAAAGGGGGATGGGATTTAGGGGCAGGATTCTAAATTCTAAGAGTAGGAAGGGGTGAGTGAGTGGTTTTTGGATTGGATTGGATTGGATTGGATTTATAATATCAGAGAATGACTTTCTATAAGCTTTTACCTCCGTACGCTATTTACACTCCCTAATAACATGTGTATATGTAACCCTTTGAACCCCGAATTTTGACCTGTGATGTTTGAGTAGATGTAGTATGTGCATGTGTATATGCATGTGGGTGTCGTATATAACTTCCTCTTTTTTCAATCTCTCATTTCATATGTAATTTGCATCTGCATCTTCATCCCCAACCCCTCTACTCAATGCCCTCCTCATTCTCCTCGGGATCCAAATCCTCCTGATCAAACACCGCCTTCTCCATCAACGCCACCGTATTCCGAATCGGCAATCCCACCACGTTATCCCAGCTGCCCTCTATGCGCTCCACCAACATCGCTCCCATGCCCTGGATCGCATAGCCCCCGGCCTTATCCACCCCCTCGCGCGTCTTCACATACGCTTCGATCAACTCATCCCCCATCTCCGCATCAAACACGACTTTCGTCTCCACCACCTCGTTCTCGCAATTGTACCCCGGATACCGCGCGTCGTCGCGGGGGGCCACCACCGCAATCGCCGTAAATACCTTGTGCGATTTGTCGTCGCGCAGCCGCTGCAGCATGCGGATGTGATCGGCTTGCGACCGCGGTTTTTCGAGGATCGCGCCCGAATTGGTGACGATGACGGTGTCGGCCGCGATGATGAGGGAGGGGTCCGGGATGCTGGCGAGTGAGTTGTCCAGACAGTGGGTGTATACCGAGAGGGCTTTTTGGATGGCGGTTTGCAGCACGTAGTCGAAAGGGCCGAGATGTTCTTTGGAGAGGTTTTCCGGGAGGGGGGACGGGATGATTTCGAGGTTTGTGAGGCCGATCTGGGAGGAGGTTAGTTGGTGATGTATTACTATCTATCTATCTATCTTTGACTTGATAAGATAATACGAGATAAGATCCAAAACACAACGAGCAAATCAAATCAACACGAAAACATACCGAAGCCAAAATTTGTTTCCGTCGCGGACTCGCCGAGGCGAGAATAATGCGTTTTCCCTTCAATTCCTGCAGCAGGGGGATGTCGAGCGGAAAGGGACCGCGCGGTACGGGTCCTTTGCCGGTGGAGATGGATTGCGATGCTGGACGCGTGGGCAGCGCGCCGTGTTGGGTCGAGGCGCTTTCGTAGGTTGGCGGAGGGGATTGGGGCGCCGTGGTGGAGAGGGGGGTGTATTGGGGTTTTGAGGAGGGCATGGTGTGCGAGGAGATGGGGTGAGAGGTGAGAGGTGAGAGGTGAGAGGTGAGAGGTGAGAGGTGAGAGGTGAGAGGTTGGATGGGAGGTGGGAAATTGGAGGGCTGAATGGATTCGGGGGTTTGGGGGTTGGTTTGCTGGGTGATTTGGTTTGGATTGATTTGATTTGATTCGATTTGGGTTGATTTGGTTTTATAGGGATGAATTGGATAGATGGAATTGCGGGTTTTGGTACATGGAGGGTTTCGTCAGCCTTGTGGATGAGATGGGATGGGGTGGGACAGGGGTTTTTAGGTGGGGCATTGCGAGCAGGGTTGTGGCTTTATAAAATCATCACATCGCAAAAGACATTAATATTACCTACCTAGGTAGGTATACAAAGCTTTTTTATTTTCTTTATAGAATTATGGTGGTAATAATGAACTACCTACCTAGGTATTCGTCACGTTCTGTCATATTAATATCAAAGTACGAGTTCTCATTAGTGATTTGGGAGTGTATTATATTGGATGTTTGAGTAACCTTTTGTATTATGCTTGGTATTTTGATGTTGAAATAGCTTTATGTACTACTGACTTGACTTGACTGTCCAGTATGTATGTATGTATAAGCCCAAGTCAAAGACAACTTAACCTACTGATGAGATATTTAGTACTCTTGCCGACAAGATGCTCAATCCATATTGATAGAGTATTGTACAGTTGGTGGCTATGCAATCTGTCTCAAACTCTCTTCGACAACATCGGCTATAGTACAAGCTACCCCTACTCCAGATGAATATGATGTCATCGCCTAGAAATATTGCAGCTCCTCTGCAAACTATCATGTCCAATTTATTAGTCGTTTGTTGAAGCCAGGCTTCCTCGTATTCCGTTTTTCGTATTGTTATACGCCATAATCATAGCCATAGCCACACTCACAAGTAGCAAAATGAGAGAAGTTTGGCAAGGCGATGTGTCGAGTCTAATCTAGATGTGCAGACCAGAGATCATTCGAAGGGCAAACCTCAATACTTTATTGTTGGAATTTATTCTTGATATTTTGTAATACACATGCTTGAGCTTGCATCTGTAATATTTTCTGCATTTGCTCCGGTAATCCACCAGGATATGTGCCTTTCTTCAAGTCTCCAGCGACGAGGTGCTTGTACACACTAATTGTTTGTTGGTGCGTCTGGAGCGGATTATGCATAATGTATCCCTGGATCATTTGTTGGAGTTTCTCAGTCTGTTCCTTGGTTAACAACGCCGCGGTATGAAGAGCTTTCACCCGGAATGCTTGATATGTCATCGATGGATTCTGCCCATGGTGTTCTGTATTCATTAAAGCCAGGCGGGGAGTCACGTCTTCGGAACGCGAGATCGTCAATCACGAGATCAGGATGGAAACCGCGGTCTTGCAAACCAGCTGCCACTGTTGCAGTGAAATCAAAGTCGTCGTCGAAAGCAAAGTCAGTATGTTCTGATAATGCTTCTCTAGTATCCTCATCACTTCGTCGATTTTCATATGATTGGGAAGATTTTTGATCTGGGTCTGGTTGAACGGGTGCTTGACCAGTTTCATAATCACTGAGCGTCATAGCGAGACCGTTTTGTTCAAGTTCTTCTTCGGTTTCCTGTGAAAAAATTGAACATGACTCTACCTCTAAATGATGACAGATATGACCAATAAGAGCTGCTTCACCAGGCAGTTCATCGCAAAATGGACAACGAAGAGTGGATATGCGTTCGGTGGACTTTTTCCCCAGCGACTTTGTGGTATGGTGCTCTTTGAGATGCGCGCCGAAATCGGTTCTTGATAGGAACTGATTCGCATCAGCATCACAGCCTTTGACAGGGCATACATATGGCCTAAGATCAGCCCAAATATGACGTCTGCAGGTCAGGTCAGCATACATTTCTACGTCTTTTGATTGAAGTGAAGGTAAGCTTTCGACATGAAGCAAAACAGCGCCGCCATGTTTTTGCGGTTTGCTTCGAGAAGGCTGCAGCTTACCTATATTGTGCTTCGCCAGTTATCCCTATTATTGTCTTTTCGCATACAAAACAGAGAAACTGCCCTTGCGACTTGACAGTCTCAGGCATTTGAGGTAGGGTAATTGATTTTGCATCGTTATTCATAAATGATCTGTATGAGACAATCGAATTATTAGATGAATTCAAAATGTTGGACGCGGTTTTCATTGAGCTTCCAATTCCAGAATCTCGATAATGCAAAGATTCCTTTGCATCGGGTATATCATCAATCTCCGGCATGACACGCATTTCTTGAATTCTGTTAAATCTCTGCCAACTTGCTCGACTTATCTTTTTAATGAGATCTGCAGAAGCGTTAGGAAAGCGCTGCGCCATGTTGCTAGCGAGGAATTCCGGTGCCTCATCAGCCATCAGGAATTTGAGCTGTTCTGCGTATTGATTTATGGTTTGCAGATTTTCGAAAAAGCTTATCCTCGAACTCTCAGACCCTTTGTAGGGTGTCGATTCTAGATTCAACACTTTGATGATCTCCGATGCCACGAATCTTTGTCGTGTATCTTTATCTTCCAAAAGGGACAGATGGCAAATAACTTCTTCTACGTAGGCATATTTTAGAATGCTTGAAACTCTGGGATAGAGCTCTGATACACCTCTGAGCACTTTCCAGGCATCACTGTGTTCAAGGTTTTGGGTATCATTCTAATTTCACAAGTCAGCATGCTTTAAGTAGTGTTTTGGAAATGCTAAAGTAGAGACTTGAACCTCAAAGTGCGTCGCCATTCAAACAGAAAAACATGATCAAATACGGTATACCTACAGTTGAGGATTGGATATTTAGTCTGCGAATTATTTTTGTTATCCTTAGAGCTACACTCATTGTAATGTCCTCACGGCCTGGTCGTCCCTTCTTCAAAATAGCCTGAAAAAGAGACAGGGCGTCATCATGTTTGCCTTGGCCGAGAAGAGAATCAGCGAATGCAACAACCATGGACAACTCGCTGTTAGTACAGTGATTGGGTATGGTCGAGAGCCTAATAAGAAACTCTTGAGTTGTGGTCGGCATTTCCAGCTGATTTACTGCCTTTCTAAAGATTGAATTGACTAAATCCTCGGCTAAAGCTTCCATTCGGCATCTGTTTAAACAATTTACCAGTGTTGTACCAACGAGAAAGACTTCCATAGACTGAGAACCATAAATCCTTTTGACTTCATAAAGGGCAGGTTCGAGCTTAACTCGCGCATTGTCATATGACTCAAGCTTGACCTCGCTAAACGCAATCAGAACTCTGGTCGTCAAAGGTAGATCATTATAGACAACTCCTTGTAGCGTAGCTAATGATATAGCTCCATATAACTCTACTTGAGCCAATAACTCAATGGTAGAGTTTGCAGAAGGTGTTTCGAAGGGGTGCCAGTCAATCTGGTGATTGTGTTTGTAACGGTGTGAGGACTCTTCGCTTGTAAGAATTGATGCTAACCCAAGGCCTATAATTCCATTCAAATATTTTATGCCATAATGGTCAAGACTCTCAATCTGCTCATGATTGATTGTGCGAGCTAGGTATAATGATTTGACCCCAGGCCATTCTTTGAGATACTCAAGGCAACTTGATATCAAAGGGTTGATTGTTGCTGGAGTACTGTCCCCCATCAGTTTCGATAGACGTATAAGGAATTTAGCTAAGATAGCTAGATATCTGGTTATCTTTGCCCTAAAAAAATGATGAGAATTTTGTCTCATCAAATTAAACATTACGAAAAGAAAATGACTACCTATCAAAATCTCGATCATTTAAATAGTCCAAGACATCTTTCATGTCAAGGATACACAGAAAAGGTACGCATGTCGTCTGCACAATATCCAGAATTTGGGTTTCTACCTCCATCCACGAAATCTCCGTATATGGTGTCGGTAACGCCTTCAATACCAGCTCCAATATGTTAAACTGTATGTTTCGTCGTGCTCTATCATCGGTATTGAAAGATAACCACTGCTTCCAACTTTCGTCTACGACATAGGTTTGACTCATCAACGTCTCGAAACACTTGATGATTCCATTATCCTTTGCCTCTTGAAATATATTCTCTAGATCTGAATCGAGTCCAATGATCGTCTCAGAGCACTCGACTATTTCGCCTTCATCGTTCCAGACCTTGGAAGGCTGGCAGATACGCTCGAAGAGTATCCGTGGTAACTCGTGGCATTTGAAGAAGGCCAGGAATTGAAACCTGCGTCGAGAGACTATTCTAGACGGTAACCCAAACTCATGTCGACCCCCCATGCTTATTATAGAAATGATTCGTGGTTGTGCCCGCCAATGAACAGAATTACCCGTTATTGAGGCAAAGTTTTACACGGTATATAGATGGCTGGATGTACCTATAGTCAAGACTGGATTCGACAAGAGTGTTGCTTTTAGCATTGGAAATGTCTGAGAAAATAGACGAGAGAGATAATATAGCTTCCTTCCAGACGACATATAATTTGCTTGTATTTGAGACTGGAAAAAAAACAGAGTTCATGGCTTACATAGAATAGATTTCGGTGAAACGACTAAACTGCGGGGTAGGTTGCACTGAGATAGCCCTGCCCGTATACTATGGACTTGATTCGTTGAAAAGGTGAGGCGATAGGCAGCCATCCAATTGAGCTGATATCAGACTTCAAAAAACCTTTCCCTTTCATCATTAATAAACACAAATGATACAAGATTAATCAAACATGTTTAGGACGACGTCGAAAACCGTACGGGTCAAGGGAATACCTCTAAATTTAAATCAGGAAGATTTTCTAGAGAAAGCAGAGTATTGTTCACGCGACCTGCGCCGGCCATGGCCCCAATCTGTCAATCTTGGTGGTTCTAAAGTCAGTAGATACATTTGATATTTTTTGTTTGAAGAACTCCAGTTTTCTGAATATATATTGCGAATTTTGGATGGGGTTTAACATCATATTTCGGTTTTGGGTGTTGTGCCTCAATGAAAGATGTACAGTTTCAAAACGATATGAGCTTTCGGGTTTTGGACTGCAGTCTAGGATCCTGCACGGCAGAACAAAAGTTGCTGATCAACTTTCTGATTACAGATATCTCTTGCGATTGAACGAGAGGATCAAGTGGGGACAATCACCTTGCCCTCGCCGAAGCATAAAGAGGAAGCTTTAAAGTACCACAACACAGAATGGGAATTCGATGACAATTTCAGCGGCATTACAACTCTGTATTCATCGGACGACCCAGAGGTGGAGTCAGTAATACCATTCTTCTTAGGCTTCGCAAATTTCTGAACTAACTCCACTTGACCTGCTGGATCTTTTGGCGACAATGGGCTACGTTCAAAGACTTAACGCAATTTGAGATTCTAACTTCTTTGAAAATGCCACTGATTCAATGTTTACTATAGTGTATGCGCTGTTCATGGTTTGAACGGAAATGCATTTGAGAGTTGGGTAGCGACCAAAAATCAAAAGATGTGGCTACGCGACTTACTGCCACTGTCGAAACCTTTTGACAAAGCTCGCATAATGACATTTGGGTACAGCTCTCGTTTGCGCGATAGAGGAAATCTTTCTGGAATCACTGTCTGGTCGCAAGATCTACTTCGAAGCGTCAGCAGCCTTAGAAAAACCAAGAAAGTGAGTCCTCTTTCTATTTCCAAACTCTTTGGCGACATTTCTTTGTGTCTGATGCTCTGTAGGAACGAGAGCGTCCTATTTTGTTTGTGTGTCATTCTATGGGAGGTCTTGTTGCTCGCCAGGTGAGTGCCGCATTATCTGCCATCACAACTGCAACTGCTAAGCACCAGTCACCTAGGCAATGGTAGAGTTAGACAAATACGGAAGCCAATCGGAATATAATGGAATTAGTCCTGCAAAATGTGCCCTACTTTTCTTGAGCACGCCTCATTCTGGCTCACTCGAAGCTGACTGGAGTGACTTCTTGACTGACATCGCTCAACTAACTATGGGTGTACGAAAAGAAATTGTGAAGACACTGGGGAGTTTCAATCCCATGTCAACTGAAAGTCAGAGAGAATTCATGAACATGAAAATCATACCCCCCTTTGACGCGTTTTTCGAGACTCGGGTGACTTCTGTTGCCAGGATTATTCACCGACAGGTACGTGCATCAAAGTTCGCTCATACGAATCCAGTACTAATTTTAGCAAAGATTGTTACACAGCAGTCTGCCAGCTTGTCAAACTGTACAGCGAAGGGAATGCCAGATGTTGATCACAACACAATATGCAAATTTGAGTCAAAATTTGGAGGATTTGAACAAGTGGCGGATAAGCTGAGGCACCTAAAAGACATTTTGGATAGAAAGTCTGATGTCCTTGCAATTAAAATCGATGTATAAAGCCCTAAGCTCTTGAATTGATACCTACATTACTTTCAAAGCTGACAATATTGATCAAGAAACCGTGGGATTCCCCACCCGTTGCATCTAACTCATTCCTACCCGCCGGTAAAAAGTTTTTCGAAGGTAAGGGCTTGAGGCAAAATCCAAAAACGCAAGTTCGGCAAGTAGATATGAGTAATCTTGCCGATTCTGTTGAGACACTAGACAGGAATGATTACTCATCTCTTGTAATGGTAGGCATAGGGGGTATCGGGTAAGCTTTAGCCTTCATTCAGAACCAACAGTCAAACTGAAAATTAATTTAGGAAGACGACAGCTGTACTAGGAATCGCTCGTAAAAATAAAGACCAACGTAATATATTTTTCGTGCACGCCACCGATGGAGAGTCATTGAGAAAGGCATATCTTGATCTTGCAATGCAAATAGGTCATGAGTATTTGCTTAAAGACTGCCAAGGCCAAGATCTTTATAACATTTGGAGGAACAACCCTTCCGATGAAAAGATTGAAAGATTCAAGAAATGGTTGGGTGACGAAGAGAATGAAAGTGCCCTGCTCATTCTTGACGATATTGACGGGATGAAAGACTTCGGTCGAAATCTTTTCGCTGATATCCCTGAACAAGCAAGAAACATCTTGTTAACAACAAGGAACCCCAATATCCGTCTACGAGACCACTGCAAGACTATCAAGTTAAATAAAATGGAGATTGATGATATTGTAACTATCTTGGAAGAGGTCCAATCTTCGGAAGATGAAGACACAGAAGACTTTCTCGACCTAAATAATCATGATGTCTTACTCTCTATTGCTAATGCGGTTCATGGGCATCCACTTGCTGCCTGTATAGCCATGAAGTATATCATCCAGGTTCAGTCTCTTGATGATTACAGGTCCGCTGGCCAGGATTTTGTTTCCATGCTTTCTGGTTCAGACCATAAGGCACGAATGACATTTCTACAATACAAACCACAAATGCCTTCTATTATGGAAACATTCATCGTATCCAAGGAGCGCCTATCTCATCCTCAGGGCCCGGCTTGGTCATTGCTGGAAGTTCTCAGTCTTCTTGAAACAGACGAATCCATTGTTGATTTCAAAAAATTCTTCGCATTCTCGAACATTGAGAATACAGAAGAATTTCCAGACTTCGATATACTTGGTTTGCGAAAAGAGGGAATAATGCCTTTATTGCATCAGATTGAAGAAGTTTCTTTTATGGAAAGACCCAGGCGTTCGAAGCCTCTTCGTATCCATCCTCTCTGGGCCGAATGCGTTCGCCAATTGATGGGAATAAACCGTATGTTAAGTTTGATGAGACAAATTTTGACAATCTGTTATTACTCAACAACTACGGTTTCTGGAAAAAGTATGAGCTGTCACTACTATCCCCACGTCAAACATTGTATGAGGATTTGCGGGAGTTTTGGCATCAGTATATCGAGCTTGAGAATGCAGGAGGAGATTAACATGCTAGTTCATAGTTTGACGACTTGACGTTGAATATAGATATGTGGACAATCTAACTCCCATTCTTATCTTCCTCGTCTGAAGTTTATTTTGAATTTGAGAAATCAGGAAAGAGGGGAAAGAGGGGACAGAAATCACATTCGCTTGAATGGATTTGTTCTGTCTTTTCTTGTTATTTTCGGGAAATTCCAGTCCGAAAACTGCCATGCTAATGTAATGGATAGCGTTGCCATGACATAATTCTCACGATTCTCACCCTGCGGCGATGACAGTGAAAATAAACGAGTCCAATGATAGGAAGCGACAGGGTAATCTTGCTGCATGCTGTGGGACAAAATAACATCGGCGCCAATAAACTGTTCGACGTGAAAACTAGCATACTAAGAATACCCACCCGTAGATCTTCTTGTAATAAAACAGCTGCTTTTCTCTTGATGAGACTTCATCAAGATGATTTGAGTGGTATTGTGTAAATTTACATGCGACGACGTGAGAACTGGGGAATTGTTGCGAACAAATTAACGCTAAGGGATCTGCACTAATCCAAAAATAGCAAAGCTCCCATATTTACATTAACCTCTCAATTTCCCATGTGACAGCCACAATTTCATACGACACCCCTCATCACCCCAACGAGCAATCTACGATGCCTTCAGACTCTCTTTTAATAACACCTACATAATTGCGATCAATACATAAGCTGTAGCAGAAGCATTTCACTCGCTCCAAAATGTCCGCATCTCCTACGGGCGAATCCTCAGCTAATACCAACTCCGCGAATGGTATCAATCCAGCCGATGAAAAACCGCGGTTATCGGAACATGAGAAGAAGGCTAATCATATTGCTTCTGGTAGGTAATTTTACAGCTCTTTCTTCTTGGCCGCCTAATGCAATAGATTTGCCAATCTCATGTACTAGAGCTAATTAACATTCTTGTTCGTAGAACAGAAACGCCGTTTAGCAATCCGCGAAGGCTTTGATCGACTGGCAGAATTGGTTCCTGGATTGGAAGGACAAGGAAGAAGCGAAAGCGTAGTCTTGAAAAAAACTGTGGATTATATACGGATACAGTTAGAAGAAAGGCGCATGTTGGTTGAAGAGGCTGAGGGTTTGGGAGTTGTTGTTGAAGAAATGAAAAGGGAAGCACCTGAAGCGGGGACTGCAGGATTAGCCAGTCGGGCGGCAGCATGGGGAGATGGAAGTGGTTAATATATGAGAAATGAGTGTGGGTATGGGTACGGGCATTGGGACGGGGCATTTCAGATTGGTGTTGGCGCATGGGGAAATACTTATGGCTTACATGGTCGGCGTTCTATTGTTGAGGATTGGCGGCAGAATACCTTCTGGGAGAATATCCGTAGGTGATGGGTGACGACGAAACATGTCAACCTTCGAGACATCACGACATATGAATTATCCGGTGGTAATCAGTACACGGTATTAAACTGGTTGATGGGCGGTGGGATCGAGTGGAATAGATGGTTAAATCCTTAATAGATCTATTGCTGTCGTCGTGCTTCGGGCGATAACACAATGTTTTTATGTACAAATGGCGGTTTAGATTTTATGGTGCTAAGGTTGGCCTCCGCAACCTGCCCTTCGGATCTTTCTTATACTGAAAGATACTACATGGTATTTATCGAACGGAATTTACCATGCCACTATTGAATATCTAATTTTCAGGAAAATATCGCTTTTAAACTTTACTATCCAATTGGTATCGTGACATAGCTGACTGCAAATAAAAGTATCGTAGCACAGGTATCGCGCTCATTTAGGTACACCTACGTCAAAAAGCAATCTGGAGACGTCGGCAATACAAGCCATGGCTTCATTCGAGACAGATGGGATTGAACCTCGAGTATTTGTCGTTGTAATCTACCAACTAAATCTACACATTGACATGTAACCAAATCTAACTCTCATACCTACTAATAGCTAGGCATGTAAGCAAACTTCGATCACTTCACTACTTCTTGACAACTAGACAAGATTCTCGGCCTACAATCAGTATATGCAAGCCCATCATACGTCATCCTGCTATAGAAACGCAGGCAGAGATGTGAAAATCATTCCTGGACTAGCATTCAGCCTGGTAGGTTTCGATAGTCTCGACTTTGAGACTATTGTATCATGACTTGAGACTGGTGAAAACATATAACAATATGTAAGGGCAATATCCCATAGGCAGTTTGGAGGAAAGGGATTATCTTCTACGAAGTGATGTGCATGATTTAAGGGAAGCGCATAGTCGAATGTAGAGAGCATATTCATGATATGCAGACCAAAATAAAGTTGATGACTTCATATATAACTCAAAAGAATCTTTACAGCGCAGTCCCAAATAACATATGCAACCCCAATCGTAAGCCCAACCCCGATACCAAAGCAAACACTCTCTCTAAGGCCATCCCCCAACCTCACCTCCTTCTCCTCCAAGCACCCCCGCGCTGTGGTAGAGTTCACTTATTCCGAGAATGTTTCTCCACCTATCTATTCGCAACTGAATAGTCAACGATCGGACAGTGACATAAGATCTACATCCAGTCATATAGATAGATATTGATTCATTAGGGTTGGAGAGTGTCTCGTTCTTGAAATTTTGTTATTTTGCCATTTTAATCTTCTTTCCAAGAGGGAGGACATCTCGTTGAGTTGTGGAAGATATGGCAGCAAGGAGATGAGGCAGGATTCTAGTATGGATAAAATGAGGTGAATGAGGAGTGTGAATTGATGTTTAGCGAGTAGTCTCTTTTGAATTTGCTAGTGTGGGCTGGCAAGCACGTAAATATGATTTGATAAATCTAATAGTAAGTAGTAAGACATGAAGATAGAGGTTTGAGGTTTAGAGCTCGAGGGGAAGAAACAGACGACCTGAAGAGTCAATCTATCACAGCAAGTGCTAGCAACAAGCTAACAATGAGGGACATAAGCCAAACCAAAGACTTCCAACATTATCTCAAGAATTAAAATCAAATTTTTCGTTTACAGTCATATGGCTAATGGGTACAATCCTAATTACAACCCATCCAAACACCCACACCGTTTTTTAATGTCCCACACCACCCGCCACCCATTCATTGAAATTCGCATCACCTGGTTGTGGAAAAAGACCTCCGTTTTGGACCTCTCCATTCGCTGGCTGTTGTTGCGCATTCGCAGGTGCTTCACCTCTTCGATGCGCCTCCTGTCTCTGTTGTCTATATACTATCAAGAACACTAGTGCAGCTGCTAAGCCAATAATAATAAGACTTTCCACCAAACCATCATCAAGGATGTCATCATAAAGTCCATCTGCATCACCACCTGGCATAGGGTCATGAACGGAACCATAAGCTTCTTCTGCGTCGTAATCGGCGTAGTATGGATGATCATCTTGCAGGAAATTACTAACCCATTCCGCCAGAGACCATTGCTTTTTAGGAGCTATTGATATGTTAGAAAGTCTGCTCCCTTCATTTAGATTTTGAATAACTTACTTGGTTCGTCAATGATCGAATTTATTTTGCCATGCGTGAATGAATTCCATGCACTTCTGATGCGTAGTTTTAACAAACTCAGGGTTACAGGTAGATATGCCTCTTCATTTGTCTCCAAAGCGTGATCATAATATCTCTTTGCGAGATGGAAATCTTGATCAAGACCAACACCATTCTCATGCATCCAGCCTAAATTGTATAACGCTTGTGCACTTTGAGGAAATTCAGATGCGGATGTATAACAAGCTGCAGCCTTCTCCAAATCTACCGGTGTGCCAATACCATTAAGATAATAATCACCCATTTTAACTAAAGCATCTGTATTTGCTTGCTTAGAAGCTCTAGTCCAATAAAGCAGTGCAAGTGCAGCATTCTGTAACAATTTAGGTCGAGTAGTGGATACAAGAGTTAGCCAGGACGGTATGGTCAGTTTCGACTTTTGTTCATCAAGGATATATGCAACATTGGATTGCCCTTTTTCGTATCCTTGTTCAGCTGCATGCATATAACCAATCAAAGCCAACTCGAGATCGCCTTGATCATATGCATTGTTTGCTTCGGCGAAGGACGTCAGAAGTGGTTCTGCTTTCTCTGCAACATTCTTGTAGTATGCAGTCGCCAAACTACAACTTCGGTCCCGGCCAACTCCCTGCTCAATAAGTTCGGCGAGGTAGTAATAAGCTTCAATATTACCATATCGTGCAGCGAGTTCGAAATATCGATTGGCAACCTTGATATCATTATCAGTACCTTGGTCTAGATACATAGCTCCTAGGTTGACTTGAGCAGGCGCGTAGTCTTGATCGGCAGAAGCTTTGAAGTATTGCTGTGCTAATACGGAATTTTTGGGTACTCCTAGGCCATGAAGATACATCAAACCCATTCCATATTGAGAACCAGCATCTCCATTTTTAATGCCGCGTTCGAACCAAGTCTGGGCTTTTTCGTAGCTCTGATCGACACTCTCCCCCCTAAGATACATTCGTCCTAGATAGCCTGCGGATTTTGCAGCAATTTTGTCCAGTTGTGGTTTATCATTTTCGATGATCTTTCCATTTCTCGTCCAATATAATTTGGCAACCTTCGTGAAATACCATTTCGCACTCTTCAAATTTCGTGGAAGTCCCTTTTGACCATCGTAATGAATGCGTCCTAGGCTGAAAGTGGCCTTAAAGTCACCTTTCCTAGACATCAAATCGAGATACTCTAGAACATCATCCAGTGCGGCGTGAGCATCTGAACTTGGTCCTCCGCCCTTCGCATTGTGTCCGGCACTACTAAAACTTGCTCCTTCACCATAGACTCCTCCATCATCATCTGCAAGTTGATAAGAATCCTGAACATATGCCATACCTCCTGGTGGTCCGGATCGATGCCATTCGATTGCTTTATCCGCTACTTTTTTGTAATATTTAATTCCCGAATCGCAATTTCTTGACATACCGATGCCACTATGATGTCGATAAGCAAGAGTCATCGCAGATCTCATACTTCCTCCTTCAGCGGCGAATGTATGGTATAGTAAAGATTTTGCTTGGTCCTGCGCA